TGAGGCGTGAGTTTGGCTTAGAAACGGCTCGTTTCCTCCCCACCCCCGCAGCAAGCAGGCGACAGGGAGGGGGCTTTGGTAGCCCAGAGGCAGGGTCTGCCCAGGGTCACCTTCCCTGGGCTCCTGTACAGAGTGGGCTGGGGTTCCTGGAGGCAGGTGGGCAGATGAGGCTCAGGTGCTTGGGACAGGGCATGGTTTTAATGACTTCCAGTCCAGCCAGGAGTTCCAGCCCAGCTCCTAGTTCACCTGCTGTGTGCCCTTAAGCAAGTTACTATCCCTCCCTAGGCCTTAGTTTCTATACTAATCATGGGGTAAACCTTTGAGTGGATTCTTAGGGTCTTTGATTATGAGCTCCCCATCCAGAGTGGGGTAGCAGAGAGAGCTTCCTGCCTCAGCCTTCCAAAAGTTCATCTAAAGTGTCTCCCCCACTAGGGACCTCCAGCTAAAGAATGCCCACAACCTTCTCCACTGTGCAGCCGGAGAGACCGGGGAGGCTGGGACCGGGGTGGCAGGGCTCTACCAAGGGGCTGGCAAGTGGTTGGGCAGAGTGGGGGTGGGGGCTTCCCCTGGGGACCCAAGGACCCCATTCCTCAGTTACCAGGCTGAAGGGATATGGGAGCAGCTGGGGGCTGCTGCCTGCCCGCTGGCAGAATCAGAATGCCAAGGCCACTGGGGGTGGGGCAGCCAAGGACCCCAGGCAAGGGGTAGCAGGAGCGGGGCGGGGCGGGGGGCTCACTCTCCAACAGGCTTCCTTTGTCCTCAGGCTGTGGAGTTGATGGTGTTCAAGGCTTCAGGTATTGCTCCCACCTTGGGGGTTCCCCGTTTCTCCTTGGCGCCAGGACACCCCCCACCCCCCTGTACAGAATGGAAGTGATTTGAGAAGCAACCATATCCGGCCTCCCACAGTTTCAGGGCCCTTCCTCTCGCTCTGCCTTTTTCTCACCTTGCGGGGGCCTGAAAGCCATCCATTAGCACACCGTGCGCGGGGTGGCCATGCAGTGCTCCTCCGGGAGAAGCAGGTTGCAAGAAGCCCACCTTCCACTTCACGCCCATACCCTCTGGCCCCCAGGCCCAGCCACCCAGGCTTACCCCACTCTCAGGGCCACTGTTGTGGTGGCTTGTGGTCTGCCAGCCCTTCCAAACCCAGTGAGGAGTGAGTGCTGTCCTCCAAGGCCCGTTTCCCCTGCTGGGCAGCTGAGAGCATGATGGGGGCCCGTGAGCAGCAGGGTAAGGCTAGGGCCACCCCAGGTCCTGCTCAAAGCAAGGACTGAGGCTGGGGAGCTCAGCCTGGCCCAGGAAGAGTGGCGGGGACCCTGGCAGCCTCTCTGGGCCTGAGTTCCTATAGTCTCAAACCAGAGACGCTCTGGGGGCTGCCAGGCCTCAGACCATGTGATTCTTTCCAGCCAGAGCAAGAGGCCTGTTCATGCAGCGCTTCCTAGCCTGGGCTCTGGCATAAACCCCGACGGCTGCTGACTGCTTTAACCTGGCCACCCCAGCAATGAAGTGTTGTCATCTTCCCATTGTGCAGATGAAGCTGAGGTAGAAAGGAGTTGGGACTAGCCAGAGTCAGTGGCAGAGCCAGGGGCAATCCTCACCCCCACAGATGGGGAAACTGAGGCACGGCTGTATGCGCAGGCACATTTGAACCCAGATCTGTATGACCCAGAGCTCCCCCAGCCGGCTTCCCCAGCTGGCTGGTGTCCCAGTCCTTTGGAGCCTCAGCTTCCCCTTCCTCAAAATGGGCTGGTGGCGCCCCCTGCAGGCCTGTTGGGAGGGCCTTGCAGCAGGGGGTCCTGAGCTGTCCCCCATTCCCAGCTCCCAACCCTCCCCCTCCCTCGCCCACACAGCGGGTCTCTCTTGGGAACAAGAGAGCGGCTGCGCTGCAGCGCCTCTGCGCTCAAGTGACAGAGCCTTTGTCTCCACTGAATGGGTGCGTTGCTAAGGCCCCTCATAGCAACGGAGCCCTTCCACCTGGGCCTATGGCTGGGCCCCACCCTCTGGACCCCCAACCTGCCCTGCCCTCTGGATGCCCTAGACCCCCCTCACATCCCAAGAGCCGCTCAGGTGGCCTGAACAAGAGGTGCAGGGAGTGAAGGCTGCCAGCTGTGTGTCCCTCACCATGCCTGAAACTCCCTCTTGGCAGGTCAGGGAGCCCTCTGGGCAGGCAGGTGCTCTGCAGAGAAACTGAGGCTCAGAGAGGGGATGAGAGAGACTGCCCAGGGTCACCCAAACCAGAATCCCACCCAAGATCTTCCCTCAGCCTCAGCTCCCAGCCCTCTCCCCATCTTGGGAGGAGACCCCCACCATGATTCTCTGGCAGCCCTGCCCAAAGGGTTCCCTTTCCTGCCAGGTTTCTAGAGCGCTCGCATGGGGGCTCCTCCCAGCTCACCTGGGGACTTCTGAAAGGCCCAACTGGGGTCCCCTGAGGTCAGACAGAAGCATTTGGACCACCACCTCCTCCCAGCAGCCTCAGCCTCTCCCTGCTTCTAATGGGGCCCCCAGCCTGGGGCTCTTGCTAACCCTGCCAGGTCCCACAGCTCTGTGCCCTTAGCCTCTGTCTGTCTGTGTCTGTTCCTCCTCTGCTCCTCTCCACGGGCCCTGAAGTTCTGATAGCCCTGTGGTGTCTCTGACAATAAATGGTACTGTTGTGACTTGTCCTTCTCTGGGGGTCACCCTGGCCTGGGGAAGGGGACAGGATGCTAGGCTCCCTAGGAGGAGGGAGGGACAAGCCACTTTGGCTTTGGGACTCAAGACAGCCCCACAGTAGGGGCAGGCAAAGGAAGGGCCCAAGGGCTGGGACTGGGGGTGCGAGACTGCTGACCCCAGGCCAACTCGAATGCTGCTGGGGCCAGAGGATGTGGCACAACCAAGGAGCGCCTGAACAGCCTCCCTGGGGGGGGCAGGGACCCTCTCCAGACAGAGGTGAGTGCAGGTGGGGCAGGGCTGAGTGAGAAGAAGCCCTGAGCCCCTGCGAGGCACAAGCTGCACCTGGCTCTCTCCACCACCTTATTAGGTGCTTCCACCCTCAGCCCAGACTTGAGTTGCTTGGGACAAAAATCTATCCAGGGGTGGCTGACTAACCATGCAAGGACAGGGGTCTGGGTATTTGGTTCTGAGGATGGGGGAGCTCTTGAACCTCTGGTAGCCCAGGCCGCCATCTGCAGAATGGGGGACACTGGGTCCACAGGGCAGGTGGTGTGCCCCATAAGTGCAGTCCTGGGTGTTAGTTCCAGTGCCCAGCGCACAGGAGGCACTCAGGAAATATCAGCTGTTCCCAGCGAAGGCTGTGCATGGGACTGTGGAAGCCCAAACCCTGTAGCCCAGATGTGAGGTTTAAGGCCTTGAAGGCCCCAAGCAGAGAGAGAAAACAGCAGACTTCCATGGGGAGGCAGGAGAGTTCCCGCCTACTCTGGGGAGACCCCGTCCAGCAGTACCCCAGGGAGGCGGGCCAGGCTGGACTGCAGACCAAGGTGTTCAGCCTGGCAGAGCCTGCTGTACCTACTGCTGCCGGAGACAGAAGGAGCAGCAGGGAGGTGGCCCTGAACCTGGCAGAGCATGTGGCGGTCCCTGCTGCCCCTGTTTGCAGTGTCCCTGACTCCTTCCCCTCATCCCCAGAGGGATCCTGCCCCCACCCACTGGGCCCTGTGAGGCTGTTCGGGGAGGTGCCCAGGGGTGGGGACCAAGGAGCCCTTTCCAGTTTCCCCTCTCCTTGCTCCATACCCCTCCTACCCCTGCACACTCTCCAGCCAAAAAAACTTCTCTTGGGTCCCCAAACACCACTGGCTGACACCCCTCCATCCCTTTGCTCACACTCTTCCCCCTGCCTGGACTCCCCCATCTCTTGTCTAGCTAGTGAACTCTTAGGCATTCTTCAAAACCCAGTTTGGATGACACCTCTGCTATGAAGACTCCCTGTACCCCCAGGAGCAGGATCAATCCCTTCCCCATCTTATCTGGCTCAGTTACATGATAATGTATCACGTCAGATTATGATCTCATTAGGGTAGCCTCCAACAGACTGGGCCTCCCAGAGGCCAGAACCAGGATGTCTGCTTCACTTCTGAAGATGGCAAGAGAGAAACAGATGCTTTTTCTTGCACAAAAGCCACTGCTAAGCTGTGTGCCTAGGGCTACCTCACCCTAGAGGGGGCACCTTTTTCTAACTCGCACAGAGGCAAGAGGTGGACCAGGAGTGGCCCTGGGGGTAAACTGGTCAGGTTGGTCAAGGTGGGTCAGGGCTATGGAGGTTTGCGCAATGGCCTCTGCCCCTTCTGTGTGTGACAGGCCACTTCACCCCTTCATACCTGTTTCTTCATCTGTAATCTAGGGCTGCCATCTACTGAAGTGGCTGCAAAGAGCAAATGGAACGGACAATAAGATGGAAAGACAGGGCAGGCGAGGCTCTGGGAAACTCTGGGTCAGCACCTGGAGCAGAGCTTCGGGTGTCAGCCATGTTTGCTGCTGCCACCAAGTGGGGGAGGCACGGGGATCAGAGACAGGGGCAGGCCTGGGTCTTATGGACGGCCACCACATGGACAGAGAGGAAAGGGCCCGTGCTCTGAGGTCAGGTGACCCCTGCAGATCACTGACTAAGGGGTACGTACCAAGTGCCAGTCCTGGATTATAACCCCTTTCTCACAGGGGTACTGCAGGGATGGTGAGATGAGGGGTGGCACTTGGTAAGTGCTCATTAAATGACTGCCCTGGCCGTGGAGATGCAGAGCCAGGTGGAGCTGAGGCTGAGGCTCTGGAAGGCCCAGGCATCTCCCAGGCCTCTCGGGTAGGGTCCCAGGGACACAGTGGGGTCAAAGGCTCCACAGCAGCGCCTGCTGTTCCCGCACCCCAGTTCCCCACCCCAGCCCACCTCCCCAGAGTTTTGAAGCAAAGCTTATAGAGTGTAGACTGCATCCCAGTCAGAGCACTGTCACCCTAGACCACCCAGCCCCACGTAGGAGGCTCTGCCTTGGCCCCAGCATGTGTATAGGCAAAGGGAGCTGGAAACTAATTGCAAAATTTATTTCAGGGCTGCGGGAGCTGGGGAGATTCTTAAGGGCACTTGTTTGGGGGCCGTGGGTCTCTGGCCTTGGCAGGGGTGCACATTTCAGTGGGCAGGGGAGGGACCCGAGACAGGGAAGGCAGGGGGCAGGGACGCCTAGTTACCTCCAAGTGGGCAGGCTCAGCACGAGCTACAACAGCAACATGAAAGCAAGACAGACAGCAATGCCCAGCCTAGTGACAGAGGACAGCCGAGGCCTCTCCCTGGTGCCTGGCCCTGGAGAGTTTCTTTCAGGGCATGAGCCAGGAGGCCAGGGAGTTGAGGCTCAGCTTCAAAGATTTGCAGCAAGGGACCCAGTGGGGTGGGGCCAATGAGGGAGGGGCTTATCAGCAATGTCCCTGACCTGGAGACCCATACATTCTCCTCAAGTTCACCCATATTCCCCCTCCCACAGCCTCTGAGCCCCCTCAAAAGGCATCCTGCTATTCATCTAATTGGGTGGGGGCCAGCAACAGCTCTTCCCTGGGTTGGAGTCAGGGCTCAGAAATGATGACCCAGCACACCCATGGGGTACTTGGTATGAGGGTGTCTGGGGAGAAACATGGGCTGTACTAGGTGCCAATACCAAATCCCAGCCTCAATCCCCAAATCTGTCCCCTGCCCCCAACATACACACCTTTCAAGGAGTATCTAGGTTAAAAAACAAACAAAACAAGAAACTCTTGGCTACAGCCTCACAAATACATACCAGCCTGGGCTGGCCAACTATGGGTGGGGCTGATACGCCAATTGTGCCAAACTTCCCCCCTGGTGGGGCAGGGATAGAAAGATGATTGTAGCAAAGTTCTTCTCAGATAATGTGTCACGGTTCTCCCCTGCAGAAGTCAGGTGGGAGAAAAGGCTAGGGAGGTCATTTGGTCCTACCCCGTCTCCCAGTGTCCTCTGGGGCCCAGCCATCCCTGGCCAATTCTGCAGACTCAGTCATCTCTGGTTTTCAAAGCAGAGGGCTTTCCTCCTGGTCGCTGTGAGAGGGCTCTGCAGCCCCTCTCTTCTCCCCCAGTTGATGCCCACTCAACCTCTCTCTGCTTCTGTTTCTAGGAGATGGGGAAGGGATAACCTTGGACCCAAGAGACATTGAGGCCCACCAGGGAATCGCAAACCTCCTCCCTGGACCTCTGCTCCAGACTCCAGGACAGACAGCTGGGAGCAGGGGGCCGGGTGGGGGCGGTTAGCAACTGCCTCCTGGGGACTCTCTGGCCAGTGGGGGCCACCCCACCTCAGCCAGGCGCTGCCCACTCTCACCCACCTTCCCAAACACAGGGCTTCAGAGAACTCAGGGGCAGGGGCCTACAGGGTGGGGCTCCTAGTCGGCATAATAGAATAAACCATCTGGAGGGCCGTAGGCGCGGCTGCGCCGTGCTCCCGGCCCCAGTCCTGGCCCTGCCCGGCCCAGGCTCAAGTCTGCTTGGCTTGCAGCATCTCGATAAGCAGGTTGTTGCGGGGCATTTCATTGCCCAGGTGCTTGTGGTACAGGTACTCCTTGGCCTGCATGCTCAGTGCCCGCACCTCCACCAGGCACAGCAGAAGCTGCTGGAACTTGTCCCCACAGTGCGGGTAGTGGCACAGGGTGTAATCAAGCAGTGCGGCATTGGCCTTCTCCTGAGCATCCTTCACCAGGCTGGGGTTATTCAGGAACTTCACATCTGCAAAGGGAGGGGCTCTGTCACCACCACCAGCCGCGCACGTCAGCAGCCACCAGAGCAGCACCACAAACACCATGGGCACTGCCACCACTGGCTATGCAACCACCGTGTCACCAGCACTGCTGTCATCAAGGGGGATGGACACTGCCACCACTGACAGTCACCGATGCGACATCCCTGTGTTCTGCCCCAATGCGACCACTGCTGTCCTCATCAACCACACCTCAGTCACCCTGTTACCACCACTGTCACCACCATCATCACTGGAGTTGGACAGCACCACCATGTGCTGCTGCCACCACCAACATCCCATGGTCACCACAGACACAGCCCAGCCACAACCACCTGTTACCATCACTACTGGCACTGTCATCGTCACAGTGGTTGTGACGAAGACCTCCAGCTTCACCAAGACGTCACCAACTTCACCAGGAGTATCTATCCCTGGGCATGTTATTTAACCTGCCAATTTCCTCATCTGCAAAGAGGGCGTGGCAAGAGCGTCTACTTCACAAGACTGTTGGGAGGATTCAAGGAGCTGGTATGTGGAAGGCGCTCAGAAGAGAGCCTGGCACATGATGAGGCCAAATATATTGGTTGTCACACCACTCCCCTCTGTGCCACCGCCACGATCAACGCCAGGCCCATCCCCATAGCCAGAACCATCTGGTCACCATCGTCTCCGTGGTGGTCACCATCAGCTCCCCATCACAACCCCACTGTCCCCTCAGCAGCACTGGCACCAGAGAGGCGCACCAGGACTTCCAGGGTCCCATCGCCCCGCCTCAAGTCCATGCACTGGTGGCCCCACTCTAGAGTGACAGGCACCCCTCTGGGCTACCCTCTGATCTCTCATGGGGCCCTGGGGGGTCACAGATGTCCTCTACAGTGGCATTTACAGTGAGGGGGCGGTGACCCGCATGGCCATGTGGTCCTGTGAGGGGAACAGAAGCAGTGGAGCGGACATAGCAGAGTCAGAGGATTCCCTAAAATCCTGGGGCTGAGCAGGAAACAAACAAAGGAAGATGGGGGGTGAGACCCATAAGGCAGAGCCATGTACATAGATGTAAAATGCTTGTACACAGCGCACACACATTATGGAAGAACAGGGACAAACAAGAAGCCCCTGGTTAACCATGAAAGAATGGCTGCCTGTGGGAGGGAGGGAGGGTGGTTGGCTCTGTGTGGACCAACGATCAGTCCTGTCATGGACAGGGGAGAGTGACTAATGCATTCCCAGCACGCAAGATCCAGTGAAGAGATTTTAAAAAAGTCTGTGGAGTGAGATTGATGGGGGCTCAAATCCTAGCCCACCACTTAGGGGCAGCAGCCTTGTGCCCCAGCCTCTCCTGATGTGAAAGGCCTTCTTCTTCTGTGACAGGGCTGTGCCCACCTTGCAGGGGTGAGAGCTTGGGTGCAGAACCTACACAGGTGCCTGGCCCCAAGGGGCACCCAGACAGGGTCAGTTCCTTGTCACTCGAGCCTTCATCAATGCTTGCAGGCCTCTTTCTGCCACACCCTTGGTCTCCCACCCCCAAATCCTAGCCCAGCCTTTCCCAGGATGTGGTGTCCAGAGGCTCAGAAAATGGCCTTCCATCCATTTCCCCTCTGCCCCCATCACCCAGCCCTGCTACTGCGGGGAAGTCCAGAGCCCAGCATGTGCAGCCCTTGGCCCTTCTAATCCCTCCTAACACCCACTGCGCCAGGAGGGCTTGATGCTCCTGGCAACCCTGATCCTCAGCCACCCCCAGCATGCCCTCCGAGGCCTGTGTTGTCCAAGGTTGGATTTAGGGAAACCCGAGCTGGGCCCAAGGCGTATGGCAGGATCTGGCCCCGATCCTCCACCCCCACCCGTTGTCTCTACATCTCCCTTCAATAAGTGAGCCAGGATCATTTTCTTCCTCCCCCTCCAGGGTCATCATTAGCCTAAAAGGTACCTTTGTGCCAATTAGAAAGGCTCCCTCTTATCCACAGAGAGACAGCTTGGTGAGGGACATACAAGCTGGATTTCAGCTCCTAGTTGTCCCCTGCCTACGTGCCCTTGTGCAGTGAACAACCTGCCCAGCTGTACACAGCAGCCCTGCTCCTTAGCCTGGCCTGATCCAGACACATTCAAAGATCATGGGAAGTGTCCCCACCTGGCTGGCCTTCCAGGTGCAAGAGGTAACTACTATTCCCATCCCTATCCCAACCTCTTTCCAACACAATACTCTCCCCTCTACCTTTATTACCCACCATCCCTGGGGCTGGGCAATCCTCCTGACATTGTCTTCTGACAATTCACAATAGGAGGTGGGGGCTCTAAAGAAGGGTAGGGACCAGCTCAAGGCCACAGGGCCATAAAGGGAGCCAGAGGAAACAGCTGGGGCATGGAGGGTGGGGGGAAGGACTGGTTAGGATGCTGCAGTAGAGGCAGGATGGGAGGGGGCTGGGAGGACGGAGCCTCGGCTTTACCAGGATTTACTGTTCTCAGCAGCACTGGACAGAACAGCAGGGTGTAGTGCAGGGCGTGGGTACAGAACAAGGACAGCTTTCAGGGGTGCTCCCCCCTCCACAACCAGCAGTTCTATGAGTCCAGCTGCTCTTTGCATATGGGAACCCCCTGTGTCCCCGTGAGGTGGGCTGCAGAGCTGGGGGAGGGAAGCACAGTCACTGATTGAGCCCCAACAACTACAGTATAAGTGGACCCAGTTTCCTGGGCACCCATAATCCAGTTCAGTTAACCCCACAGACACCCAGGCAGGCAGGAAAGGACATTCCCCCAGGCAGAGGGACAGAGGGGCATGCCTAGAACACACAGATGCCAGAGTCTGGATTCAAACCCAGGTTTCTCTGGCTCAAAGCCCTTTGGGCAAGCAGGGGTGGGGTCCACTTGATCATCAGTTCCTGGCAGTTTGGACATGATAACTTTAGGTTTCACCCAACCCTGTTGTCCTATCCAAGGGCCGCCACCCCTGGGGCCCTAGGTTTCCTCAGAGAGGCTACTCCGGACTTCAGACTCAACTTCCTCCTCATCTGGAAGAGACCACGGTCAAATCCTGCCCATTTTCCGAGCCTTCCCGTACCTCCATTTAAAGGGACTGTTGTGAAGATCCTGTGGGATAACGGATATGACAGAGCCAACATCCCACAGAACTGTGCCCTTCTTCTATTAGACATGGGAGCAAGGGTCCCACAGTCTGGAGACTCCCCTTCAGGGTGTCAAGGGTTCAAATCCCAGGTCCACCACTAGCTGGGTGACCTTGGGCAAGTCTCTTCCCCTCTTTGAGTCTCAGTATTTTGTCATCTGCAAAATGGGGCAAATTAACCTCTGACTCACTGGCCACCCAAGAACTGAACCTAATCCTTGTGCCCACCTCTGGGTCCTGAGCTGCTGCAGGCTGGAGGTGGGCACGCTCGAGAAAAGCCTGCATGTGTCTTCAAGCCTGCTCAGCTCTCGGCAGTCCTGGACGTGGGAGGTGGGAGAAGGCTGGAAGATGGCACCCCCACCCCAGAGAGCAGCCTGCCAGCTCTGTGGAGCTGGGGGCCCCCAGGTTCTCAGAAAAGCCCCCTTTTCACGGTTTAATTGAATATTTGAATAATCCTTTCATTCCAGCGAGGCATAAAGAATGTTGTCCCAATAGCGGTGACTCAGGCAGGCGCCCCCGCGTACAATGGCCCCTCGAGTGGGGCTGCTATTCAGGCCGCCTTTTGTTGGCGCGGAGCAGTGGGTAAATTGCAAACGCTTAAGGGAATGCTGCTGCCTCGCCTCAATGGAAGTCAGGAAATCGAATGTTAGGTCAATCCATTAAGCTTCGATTAAGTCCTCTGAGGAACAATGCCAGCCGGGCCCATCTTCATAAACACCGCGATTGCCAGGAAAGAGGCACTAATTTTAATTAAACCTCCTTACCTGCGTCCGCGCCTGCCTGAGACGGCTATTTAGACGCCAAATGGCACCCTTCTGCGGAGGCAGGCGAGAAGGAGGAGCTGAGAGGGCTAGAGGGCGGCGGGTGGGGCGGGATGGAGGGAAGTCATCATAGAGCTCAGGCTGCCCAGCCCAGGGAGGTGCTGCCCCAAGGGTGCCGCCCGGCGTGCCCGCCGGAGATCTTTGGGAAAATGGCCTTCCCTTTCTGGGCCACAGATCCCTTGTGGCCTCAGCTCGGGAGGTCTGGGTGGGATCATGGAGGAGCCCCTCCCACCTTCCAGACTCTGGGCAGACCTTACCCTCATCATGCCTAAATACGTTCACTTCACCCCAGCTCCAGGCCTAGCCTCTTACAGGGCTCTGCGTGGCTACCTGCCGTCCTTCTCCCAGGCTGCCGTTGCTAAAATGCAAACTTGATCATGTTACACCCTGATGGAAATCCTTCCTAAGGGAAGGTTCAGGGTACCTGGCCTGGCATTCAAAGCCTTGCACAGCTCAACTACTGCCCACCTTACCAGCCTCTTCCTCACCTTCCCCCTGCCCCACAGCCACGACAAACTTTCCAGATTCTTCATACCTTTGCACAAGGTGTTCCTTCAGTCTGCAATGCCCTTGCTATCACCTGCTTTGCTTCACCCAGAACACTCCTTCTCAAACTGCAAGACCCAGCTCAGAGACACCTCCTCCAAGAAGCTTTCCCTGATATCCTGGGTGTAGTTGGTTTCTCCTCTTTAGCCCAACCCTGATCACACTGAACTGCCCAGTCTCCTCCCCTAACCTGCAACCTCATGGCCTCCCTGACTCACACTGCTCCCCCATGAGGCCCTGGGCCTTCTTGTCCTCCCCTCCCAGATTCAGCCTCACTAGTGTTTCTGGCCTGCTGGGCTGGGTGTTCATCCACCGTCTCAACCATACCCATGACCCTCACCCCAAAGACAAAGGCACCATGCCAGACAAAGTGCAATAAAGATGGAGGTTGACTCCTTCATTAATTCACCTGTTCATTTGCTCACTGACTCAATAATGATAGTTACGATGAAAACAATATTGATTCACATCCCAAGGGACCAGGCCACCCACTGAGCACATTGGGGAATCCACTCATTAAATCCTCATAGCAAGTTAAGGATTATTATGACGGTCATTTTACAGATGGGGAAATAGAGGCTCAGAGATGGGAGCAACTTGCTCAAGGGCACACAGACAGAGAGTCCGGATTGAGAATCCAGGTGTTCTAGCCCGCCGCACATGTGTGCACACAAGCACACTCTATCGCCCCTCTGCCCTGCCCTGCCAGTCTGTTCCAGCCAAGCACTGTAGACACTCCTGCTCTTGCAGGCCCTGGCTGCTGCCTCCTCTGGAACACAGAATGAAGGCTAAGCAGTATGGAGGGGCCCAGCACTCATGGTTCTGAGCACCGCCACTCGTCTGCACCCTGGAGAAGAGAGCTGGGCTCAGCTTGGCTGTCCTCCTTAGCCCCACGGGAGGAGTCCTGCCTTTATCACCCAGTGTTGGCCAGAGCTGTGGCAGTCCTGAGAGTCCTCCATGTTGGGGGCTTTGCTGGGAAGAGGGGCTGGGAGCTGCAGAGGTGTGCCTCAGGCACAGGCGAGGGGTGGGGGGGGGGTGCATCTGCAAAGCCAACCCTTGGTCCCTGCTCTGCAAGGGGTACTCAAGGATAGACGGAGCCCTGGCCAAGGAGACTGGTGGTTGGCAGCCCACCCTCCACCCAACCCTTCCCAGGACCTCCCTGGTAGCTTCCTGATGGCAGTCAGGTCAAGAGCTGTCACCTCACAAACCACCCAGACTGCCACAGATCCCACACTCCAATTCTATGTGCCCCCAAGCACCACCCATCTCTCCAAATAACCTCTGCCTCCAAATCACCCCTGTCAATCCCAACTACACAGGACACATAAAAAATCACAATCCTATAAAAGTTCTCATTTGGCACCTGTGTGAAAACAAGAGATGCAAACACAAAGGCACAAACACACACAGAACTTCTGGAATCTCCACACCCCCAACCACACATAACCAGGGCTTTGGCAGGAGGCAGTTCCCAGAACACAGCAGGTTGGGAGACAGAGGAAGGAGGGGCTCCCCTCAGCTGCAGCCAGCCTGGCCTGGGCCCTTGGGGCTCCTCCAAGGGCGTTAGGTCATGGCTAGCTGGCTGCCCAAGATTCTGTCCCCACACCCAGCCGTGGTTGTCCCCTGCCACCCCAGCGTGTTGTTCCAGGGTCAGGAGACACAGCCCCAGTACCCACCCATATGGCCATGACCTGAGCCGGGCTTCCCACAGTTAATACTTCACTACAAATCCCTCCTCTCCCAGCTTGCTTCTCCTCTGCTTCCTCAGATCCCCCAACTCTTGGGCAGACATACCGTCACCAGTCTGGCTATGATGCCATCTGCCTCAGAGACGACATCTCAATCCTGCCCTTGCCCTAGGTGATGAGGCATTCATATCCTTCTGTTCCATCTATTCCTCTAAAGATTTATCCCCTCCCTCAGCAAACTCCTACTCATCCTCTAAGATCCTGCCCAGAAGTCCCTCTTTCAGGGAGCCTTCCAGGCAGAGCCCTTGCTCTACATGCTGGTTTCCTGTCTCTGTTCCAGCCCTGACTGCGCCCGCTGGAAGCCTCTCCTGGACTGGGAGCCACCCGATAACAAAGAAAACGTCTATGTTGATAGGGAACAGGGAGCGCGCTGGAGATGGCTTGCTGGGTGAAGGACAGAGGAGGCAGGCCCGGCGAGAGCCCCAGGAGAGGGTCGAGACTGGAGCAGCCCCAACGGCCCAGTCAGGAGGGTGATGTGTGGGGACATCAGGCCCTTGGGGAGGGGGGCTGAGGGGTTGGGCTTGCCCTCTGCCCCTTCCCTGCATTATTTTCCTCCTGGGTATTCATCATAATCCTCTAGGCTGCATGTTTTACTAATCATTTCATTTATTTATGTGTTTTTTTAATAAGCATATTATGTTTATTGTCTCTCCCCCAGAGAGGTTCAGCTCCATGAAGATAGCGACTGGGAGTCTTTTTGTTCACTCTGTCCCCTCCCTTCCCCACCCCCCGCCACCCGCCCATGGCTTGCACAGTACAGATGCTCAGCAAGTGGTTGTAGAATGAATGAATGAGTGAGTGAGTAGATGGACAAAGGGGTCTGGGCACCGAAGAGCACAGCGTCAAAATGTGGGCCCCCTAAAACAAGGAATTAGGGAAAACAGGGAGCCAGGATGGGGGCCAAGGGACAGAAGCTCCTGAAATGATGCAGGCACTTTCTGGAGGTGGCATGAGCACTCTGCTAGGGCTTTCAGCCAGGAATGTACAAAATTCTCAGAAGAGAATGCACTGTCCCACAAAGAGCAAGTCTTAGGTCTTATCTTGGTCCTCTGTACTTCCAAACCGAGACCCAGAGAGAAACAACCTCCCTTTTAAGAGCCAGGCCCTGGGCCAGATCCCCTCATGCCCTCATACACTCAGGGAGGGGTCCTGGCCCCACCTCGCCCCTGTGCTGGCAGGCCTCGCTTGGCCCACTCACCGAGGCTGAAGAGGATGAGGAACTTGAGGCAGACGAACTCCTGGCGGTCCAGCTGCAGCGTGAGCAGCTGCAGTACCAGCTCCTGTGCCCGCAGCACCAGGCCGTGCAGCAGGGAGCCTGCCTGGGCAGCCACCGTGGTCAACTCCACCTGGCCGGGTAGAGGACAGGGTCAGAGGGCTCCAGGCAGAGGACATGGGTCAGGCAGCAGGGCAGGGGCAAGAAGCTCTGATCAGGGCCCAGGGAAGGCGTGGATGGAACAGGGGCTGGGGGTCAGGCGGGGGTACAGGGGTGTGCATCCGCTGGGTTTCCAGCAGCCTCCTCAGCTCTTCTCACACTGCCAGTGCTGAGCTTCAGGCCCCCGCAGCAACAGAGCGCAGAGTGGGGCAGGTGGGTGCAGAGGGAGAGCTGAAGGGTCCTTCACACACAAAGAACTGCCGCCAGGCCCAGCAGTACAAGCGGCTTTTGTGTTTTGTGTGGTGTCTGCCGCGGATGCCACATCTTGCTGGGTGTGGGAGCCGGGGGGGCAGACCTGCCTGGGTACACGTGGACAGGGCCACATGGCAGCCCGAGTCCCCTCACACCCACATGTGGACACTCAGACTGGGGGTGTGGTCACTCTCAGCTCTTGTTCACACACACATGTGGACACACAGCATCATCCACCCACTTCCCTAAGCGAACACAGACACACACACCCTTGTATGCTCACATCACAGGATAACACAGACACATGACAAGTATGTGTTCCCACTGACATGGTGACAGGCAGAACTCAACACCCACACACTTGCATGTATGGAGATATTTGCACAAGAAATTACAGGCAAACACACATACAGCAGGCATTCCCACAGCCTCAGAGACTTGCACCCACATGTTGACACGGGCTGACACCAACACTCCCACACCTCACGCTCCTCATTGGCACTCACCCTTGGGACCAGCTCTCCCCTGGCCCTGATGTCCTAAGAGACCCCCAGGGTGAGAACTGAGGATGAGGACAAAGGACGTGCGCTGGAGGCAGGAGGTGGGGAGCAGGGCCTCAGGTCCACCCCCTAGAGCACCTGTCAAGCCCACTCCTCCGTGACCCCCAGGAGAGCTGCTTCCTCCAGCAGGCCAGAGCCTGGACATCATCCCCCACTTCTTCCTCTCCCTGCTGCCCTCTCTTTCCCCTACACCTCCTGTCACCAGCTGGGGGACCTCCACCTTGAACTGTCCCTTCCCAGGCTTCCAGCATTCTGAGCAGTGCCTCCACTTCCTCCAAGCCTCTCATCTCACCCCGTCAACATGCTGCACCAAATATAACCTGGCCACGTCCTCCCCCACTTTAAACTCTCCTATTGCTCCCTGCTCAATTTCAGGAGTCCCTGGTTCCCAGCCTAGTACCCCCAGTTCCCTGCTCTCAGGCGGCCCAAATTCTGACTGAGATCTTTGGGACCCACTCCCCTCTGCCCTTCATTCATTCATTCATTTAGGATTTAGGGCCTTCAAGGTCTTGCCTAACCCAGCTCCAAAAAACACCCCCATACTTATCTCTTACTTCATCCCACCCCCAAGGCCTCCGGCCCCCCAGACCCACATAGCAGCACCCATGTACCTGTGGACCCCAGCAGCTCGGGCGTTCTAAACCTCCCTGTCCAAGCCCTTGCCTATGCTATCCCCTCTGCCCATGGTGGAGGTGGGGCCTGCCTGTCACTAACTGACTAACCCTGATTTATTCTTCTAAGACCCAGTGCCACCATCACTTCCTCCAAGAGGCCCCCCCTGACCCTCCCCACATCCCCAAGCTGCTTCCCCCAGAAGCGGGGCTCCCAGGAGCTGGCTCCTCTCAAGGCCAGGGCCAGGGCTGGTCAGAAAGAAGCCAGGCCAATGGGTACCCATGAACCTAGGGAAAGGGCCAATGCTCAGGGTATCCAGGGCCAGCCCTAGAGAGGCCTGAGACTTCTGGGCCCGGAATTTTGGAGGTGCCACGGGTGGGGGCAGGGCACCATTGCAGGCAGTCACCTCCTGCCCGGTGATCAGCAGAAGACTGCTCTCCTTGCCATGCTGGATCTGGCGGTAGACGTGGTCGAACACCAGCAGCTCGCTCCAGCAGTTCTGCAGCAGTGTCATCTGGTCGGCCACCTGGAGGGGAGAGGCACATGGGGCTCCAGCTGGGGACCTTTCTCCCCCCGACTCTCAGTTCAGAGGCTCAGTTGAGTATGTGATCTGGGCAGCGTGCTTAACCTCTCTGTGCCCAGTTTGCCCATCTGTCTACTTCAGCAAAGTGTGGCAGGCATCTAGCAAAATAGTAAGAGGGTCCAATGAAGGTGGACCTTTGTCTATCTAGCAAAGTGCAAGGTCCAATGAAGGGTTGCATGGGCCTGGCTTCAGGCCCCAGCTCTGTTCTTACAACTTGTATGACCAACCGTAGGCAAGGTCTGTAACCTTCTGAGCATCAGTTTTCTCATCTGTAGAATGGAAAACTTATTGGCAGGTAGCCTGGCACATATTAAGCCCTCAATAAATGTTAGTGAATAATGTCTATGAATGTGTTTTGTGAAGACTTCCTCAAATGCATGGGAAGATTATATGTAATTTTAGCCCTGTGCCCATTTGGCCTGTGCTCACATCTCTAGCAGCCTTAATCACTCAAAACTGAGCCCTGCAGAGGAAACAAAGGCCCCATACGCGGGGCTTTTGGGTTATGAGAAGAAAGAAGGGCCTGCCTGGCCTGTGGTCTGGCCCAGGGAATGAGCCGGCGGGTGGCACTGGTCTCACGTCTGAAGCAGGAAGAGAACTACACAAAAGGGCAGATTCCGAACACCCAGGCTGCGGTCTCAGCAAGGGCAGGGGCTGCCACTCTGTGGGGTGTCCTTCCACTCTGGGGACCAATACATTCTATCATGGTAAGAGTGCACACTTGTGACAGTGGTGAGTGGGTCTCAGGACCATGGATGGCCTCAGGGACCCCCTGGCCTAAACTCAATGATGGCTCACTTAACCAGCTGAAGACTCTACCACCAGAGAAGGTGGGGGCCTCTCCCGGGACCACAGGGGGGCAGAGGTAGGCCAGGGCCAGGCCTGGCATTCTTACTCCACAACTCTTCACAGTGACAAATACTGAGCTCACCTGAGTGCTCAGAACTGCGGGGCACTGCAGGTCATCTCAGGAAGACACAATACAGACTCCAGTCCCTCCCAGCATCTGCGGCTCACCAGCCAGCCACCATCTACCCAGTGCACACTTCCCAGGCACCTACTGCCCTGGGCAAATGCAAACCGTAAAGCTAACACTTGGCCCTAGGAGCCTGGCATTGTTGTGATCCCCAATCTATGAGGAGAGGACAAGGAACTTGCCCAAGGTCACACCGCTCTGTCTGGCTCCAGAACTGTGCTCTTAACCACCAGGTGTGAAAGAAGATCCACCCTGGCCACCCAGGGGTTCAGGGCATACTTGCTACCTCCCCCATCATGCCCTCCCCATCCCCTCCTCCTTCCATGGCACCCTCACCATCCTCTGGACATGGCACCTGCCACATCTAATGGCAGAATGCAGGCCTCAGTCTTCCCCCAACACTTGTGCAGGGGTCAGCGAGCGGTTATGAATAAATATGTGCTCCTCAAGCCGTGCAAAGAGAACACAGAGGAACTACCCCCAAACCAGAGGCTGGAAAGGTCCATGCAGCCCCTGGCCCAAGGGCAATTGGCCCAAGCCCAATGAATACTCTTTCCTGGAGGGTAGAAGCCCCCTCCTCTCCTTTGGTTGTGTGGGGTCTGTCCTCATGCAGAGAGAGAGAAATAGTGGACAAAGAGCAAAGTGAATAGCTGGACACACAGTCAGGCTTCCTCCAGGCCTTGCCTGCCTACTTCTTCCCAGGCCCACATGGCTGAGACAAGATGGCAGGTCTGTCTCTGCCCTGCCCCGCATCACCAGCCTCCCACCCTCCCTTCCTCACCTCATTTCTCTGTCAAGAACTCACACCTCTCTAACCTCTCCTGACAGAAGCTTCTTCCTAGAGCCCCATTACTGTTAGAACAGGACACCCTTCCAGGGAGACCCCAGACTCAGCCATAGGGAGCCCTGGATTGGCGGGGCCAGGAGAGACTGAGAACCGGGAAGGGTGAGCCACAAAGACACGTCTCCCCGTCTTGCCCCAGGAAGTGGCCAGTCCCGGAAGAAGTGCTGTCAAGAGGCCTCCCACCAGTTTCCAAGGAGGGAGACAGGGCTCAGTGCGTGCCCATGGCCAGGCCCCGTCCCCAGCCCCAGGACTCCTTCCTAAACTCTGCCCTGCGGAGTCTGCCCATGGCAGAGAAGGAGACAGAGGCTCACCTCAGGTAACCACAGGGAGCTGGGCTTTGCCCAGAAGCCCCTAACTGGGCTGGTCTTCTGGGGACCCCAGGAACTCCAGAAGCCCAAGTAGGAGGTACATTCGCCAGGGAGTCACACTGGCCCACCTCGACAGCCCAGATGGAGGAAGAGCAGGAGGGAGGACATTCGGAGCTGGGCTCTGCCCCCCGACCTAACTGGGGCCCGGGAGCAGACACCCTTGTGTCCGGATTGAAGGAACATGGGATGGGGAGGTGGAAAGGCAAGAGATAAGGGGGAGAATTAGGAGATAAGAAGGCTGAGCTTCAGGCAGAAAGCAACAGGGGTCACAATGACCCAGTCGGCCAAGCCGTGGGAGCAGACTCTGTACACAGACCTCAGATCCAGGAGTGGGCAGCTCTGCCCACAGGGCTAATAGATGTGGCAGGGCAGGGAGAGGTGGCCTATGGTGGCCAAGCTGAGGTGCCCTCTGCCCTCTGTCTTATTCCCAACTTAGCCAGGCATCCTCCTCTGCCCTAATTTCCTGTTCTGAGAAATGGGGAAAATAAATCCTCCCTCCTTTAGTGAGAGAAAACATAGGAACCAAGAACCAGCAGCAGCAGTTGTGGATTCACAGTTGGCTCTTTCCGGACGCTGACCCGGTCTGGGCTCCCACCTGCCCCCCAGCCAAGCAGTCTTTCCTGCCAGACTTACTTGTTCTTCCCCTAGATGGGCAGATGGACACATAAAGACACCAAACTCCAGAACATTCCCTACACACACACACACACACACACACACACACACACACACTTTTTTTATTTAAAAGAAAACCAGAAGGCTGTAACTGCCAGCCCCTCTCCATAGGAAAGCAGGTGGCTAAGAGGCTCACTTAACCAAAGAGGATTGGTTTTCACTTTCCATAGGTTTCTCCCTAAAGCAAGGTTCTCCCGTGCCCCCAGGCCTCCCTGCGGCCCTGGGAACAAGGACTTGTGCATCCCCAGCCCTGGGGTCCCTCATGGGCCTGGCCTATCTGCTCAGCCCACTAGCCACCCGCCTCTCCTGCCAGTCTGCCACAAATCTTCCTGGAGCCTTGACACCTTGCAGCCTGCCTTGGAGAAGGGGTATTTATGGGTGCTGAACTGACCTCCCTCCCAGCAGGCCCCCCTCTGGAGCCCCCTGGGGTCTGATCAGTCTGGCAGCCGAAGGCCAGGGGGCTCTGTAATTCTCCAGTGGCTGACATGCCACGGGCTGGCCGCGGCACTCTCCCAGCCGAGTGGTCGACGGGCCATCATTTGTCAGCCCAGGACTGACAGAGTTACTGCTGTTTAAATGAAACCATATATCTGAGCAGTTAAATCTGTTGCCAAGTGGGGGCCTCGGAGCTGAATGTCGAGGGTGAACTGATGTCAAGATGGGTCATTAGGCACTCTTGGCCCTCTCCTCCCCCTCCCTGATTTCTATCTTGCATCCTCCCGGCCTGTCCTTCACAGGAACTGTCCAGACAGGCTGCCTGCCTGGGCCTACACGCTGCCCCCCCACCAAGCAGCAGAGACAGGTGTTCTGCTACCTGCAGGTATGAAGTTGCTTTAGAAACCCAGGGCAAAGTGGGCCCCCATCTTCTTCCAGAACCTGCTCAGGGGAGCATGGATACAATGTACCTTTTCTCACCCTTCCTGGCCAGGACTGTATACTACCTGCAAGGAAAGTTAAAACTGTGTAGAGGGAGACAATAAGGAAGGCTGCTACTCCCACTTCCCAAACACTTCCTGTGTGGTATGCCCTGTGCTAAATTCTATAAATGTCCTAGCTCACTAAGTGCTTACAACAACCCTATGAGGTGAGTATTATTTCAACTCCCCCTGTTTTAAAAATAAAGAAACTGAGGCCCAAAGGAGCAAAATCACTGGCCTGAAGTCACACACCAGGTAAGTGACAGAGCTGGCAGAGTGGAACTTAAAACACAGGCCTCTCCAATTCTGGTCTTTGTTATTAACTTCTGTGCCACTGTCAGATCTAACATGCCATGACTGTGTGAGATGGAAAAATCAAGACACAGGGTCATCCAAGCTGGGAAAGAAGATGGAGGAGGAGAGCTTCAAGAGGGCATCCAGACCCGAACGTCCAGGCTCCCAGCCTCCCCGACAGTTCAGCCAAGACCCCAGGCCTTCCCCAGGGCAGCAACATGTCATCAGCATCACCGAGGGCTGGGTGGGCCTCTGTGGAGAGCTTGGGCCTGTGGTAAGAGCCCTCCCTGCTCCAGGGTGTGGCAGGCCACCTGCCCCCCACTGCCAGAGGCCCCCCTCCAGGTCTAAGCTCTGCCTCTAGCCCTGCCAACCTCTCCAGCCCTGCCTCATAGGATCACCTGGTCCTGACACGTAATGTCTTTTCACACTCTGGGTCTTACAGCCTATACTATTCCCACTTCCTAGAATGCCCTTAACCTTCTCAGACTGCTTTCTGAAAGGACACAGATCAAAGAAACTCCTGGTTTCCTTAGATAGAGGCAGTTGCTCTAGGGCCCCCTTGGCTCTGTCCGTTGCTCTCAGAGCCCCAGGCACCCTGCACTGGCATTGTTTATATGCATGTCTGTTTCCTCCTCTAGCCTGACAACCTCCTGGGTCCAGCTCATTTCAGTGTTCCCTGTACCCAGCCCAAGGGCTATCCCACTCTCAGAGCTAGAGAGCCCCCCTCTTCTGTCTCCTAAGATGCATCCTGCCTGGAGGTGGGAAATGACAGTCAGTCAAAAGGGAGAATAGCATCCCTCAGCACCTTTCCCACTCTTGTGCTTCCTCATCTCTGGCTCCTCAAACAGGTACCCGCTCAGGGCTCATTGGACCAGTGGGGAAGAAGTTCCACATGGCTGATGAGGGGCCTTCAAAGGGCTGGGCTGGTACTCATCTGCAAGGCTCCTTTACAGGGGATGGTGACCATGTTTCATGCTCCTGGGCTCGATTCAAAGATTCTGGGAAGGGGAAGCAGGAAAGTTTGGACCACAGAGAAGCCAGAAGCAGGAAAAAACACTCAGCAAAGCTGGGACAAAAGCCCTTCCCATCCTGCGTGAAAACCCCCGGGAGACTAGGAAGGCGGCCAGAGGAAGTGCCCTGCCCCTGGACCCAGGGTTCTGGAAGTCCAGGAATGTTCTGTTCCTCCTCCCCTCTGCACAGGGGGCTAATGGGAAGTCTGGAGGGGAAGCTGGCAACCAACCCAAGGGTTCTGAGATCCTCTTCCTCCACCAGGGCTTCCAGCCATCAGTGGAAGGCAGATGGGATTGTTCAAGGCCCTGCCTCTTGTCCAATCCATGAACTGGGCCCAGAGAGAGGGCAGGGCGAGAAGCTCCACTTCATGACAAACACATGGAGCATCCCCAGGCTCTCCACAGTAGAAGTAGGAGCCATTACCATAAATTCCTGACTCCCAGAGAAACCCAGTCCCCCAGCCTCATGATGCCTCAAGGGCTCACAGTGACCACCCGCCATTCCATCTCCCCAGCCCTGCCCCATTCCCAGTGCAGACAAGCAGTGCCCCAGGCCCATCCGGCCACATGCCCCTGGAGGAAGCCCAGGCACAGCGGCATCAGCAATTAAGATGCTGCTCAAGGCTGCTGTGGCCCCAGCAGGGAGGCCACCAGGTCCTGCTGTTTACACCCAGTCCCGCAACAGCTAAGGGGATTGGCCTGGGAAAGGCAAACTCCCAGGCCAGGGAGGGATGGGCTTTGGCTGGGCCTGGGGGCCTCTGAGGTTGGCAGAACACCCTGATCACAGGCAGCCAGGGCACTAGAGGGACAGCTCCCAGGCTTTGGCCCTTCAAGCCCCTAGGCAGGGGGACTAGGCAGTTCTTCCCTGTCTGGCTTCAGTTTCTCCTGTGGCTTCTCTGCTTACTTTAGCCGCAGTTACCTCAGCCCAGGGGGATGCAAATTGTCACAGCAGAGGAAGGCTGCCTTGGCTGGCAAGATCAGCATCGGGCCCTGCACTGCCCCATCTATCCCCCTACCCAGCTCCCCCTGCACCCACAGACACACACTTACCACATGGAACCAACCATGATGAGTGAGAGATACAGGGACAGCAAGACCTTTCACCTTAGCTGGGAAGGAGAAGCCCCACGAATATACCAAACTCTGAGATACTAAGACCCCATATATAACATCTGAGGCTGGCAGGGATGGGTGGCCTCCGAGGGGTTGGACCCCCTTATTGATTTTGGGCTGGGGAAGCCAGAGACAATCTCCTAAGGACTCAGCTAGTCCTTTGGGGGAGCACAGGGTCTCGGAAGAAGAGAGATAAATGCCCACAGAGACCCAGACTGGGAGAAGAATTGAGACTGAAGGGGCTGAAGAAACACAAAGCAGAGAGACAGCTCACCAGGGGAAGAGAGACAACACAGAGAGACAGGCAGATAAAAGAAGCAGAGGCTGTAAGAGATACTCAAGAAACAGAGAGCGAGAAGAAAGAGGGGGTGAGTGAGGAGGTGGGAGAGGGGCCAGGCTGTGATGGACCAGAAACTCTCTTCTATGGCCTCAGTGAGGCCTCCCTGCTGCCAGACACTGCCTGAAGCCAGTGGGCAGGAGGGTTCCATACAACAGATGAGTGAGACTGAGGCCTTCCCAGCCAAGAGGACACTCCAGATACAGCAGGCAGCCAGCGGGGAGAGAGACTCACCTCCAGCTCCTTGAAGACCATGCACCTGCGTGCCCAGTCCACGATGGAGATGAAGGTCTGGTCAGCCATCCTGCACAGGAGGCCGAAGGGTGCAGGCTGCTCGGAGCGGCCTTTGGACGGTTCCTGCAGGCAGCCCACAATACGAGCCCGTACCTGGTCTTCATCCGGTTCCAGCTGTAGCAGCTGCAGGATGAGCTCAGGCACACCAGGCCCTCCAGAGAAGGGCTCTGGGTAGCCATAGGGTGGCCCAGGCTGTGGGGGACTGGCATAGGGCTCCGGGTACTCAGACTTGATGGCACGGCCAGGGAAGGCGGGGTAGAGGTAGCCGGCCAGTGACCCGTGAGTGCTGGGCACAGCCATGGGCAGTGCTGGTGCCCCAAAGTCACCCAATGGTGCAGCAGGTGGACCAGAGGCCAGGCCCTTGGGCTCAGGTGCATGCAGGCCAGGGGGCAGCATGTAGTCCGGTGGGGGAGGGGGTGGGTGGGGCACCCCCATCAGGGGGCCCGTCTCCAGCTTGAAGCCATTGGCTCGAATCTGTGCCTTCTTCTGCTGCTTCAGGGCCCGGTCCCGCTTGTACATGGGCCCAAACTTATTCCGGCCACCCCGCATGCGGTCAGCACGTACGGCTGTGGGCAGAGGTAGAGGATCAGGCTCACCCACTCCAAGCCACCCACTATGCCACCCCACTCACAGATCTGTCCCAAACAGAGCTGACTGTGTCACTTCCCAGCTCAATACTCTTTCGTGGCTCCCACTCTCTGCAAATGAACACAGTCTTCTTAGCCTGGCGTTCAAGGCCCTGTTCACCCTTGCAGGTCATCCCTTGGAAGATCCTATGTTCTTTCCCCTCCACCTTCCCCATCTCTCTGCTCCTCTGTGTGGCATGTCTTCTTCCTATCTCCTCCCTTTGATATTCCTTCTGCCTCAATGCTTGCCTTGTCTCATGCCTGTTGAACACCCAGCCCTGAGGCCACCACCTCCAGTGTTCCTGGGTGGACCCAGGCAGAAACCACTGTCCTCACCCCAGATGTCCTGCCTCATCCACCCTGGGTGAGCTGAGAGCTCCTGGGGAATCAGTAATGGGTTCAGGTGCCCCACATGGGGCCTGATGGGGAGATGGCGACAGGAATTGGGCCCTGGGCAGCCTTATCAACAGCTGGGTCCCCAGTGTCCAGTTGCTTCTTGACTGACTGCCTGACTCTGTCAAACACCCTACTGAAAATTGAAAAATGACTCAGGCTTCCCCTACTGCTTTCAAATTTGAGGCTGAGCTTCAGGCTGGCTGGGGCTCTGTGCTGGGGGAAGGAACCTCCCTTGATGACCAGATGCCCCTCCGCCTGGCCAAGAGGGTGTCACCAGCCAGACCCAGCAGATGCGTCTCTGCAGCTGTGGTGTGGCTCCAGCCCCTGCTCTGACAGGACCCCACCCTGCGCTCTGGGAGAAGGGAAGAGCAGGAGGGAGAGGGTGGTGCCTAGTAAGGGATGTGTCTTGGGGGCCTGCCCAGCCAATATTCCCACCCTTGGATGGACAGCCCAGCTCTGTTCCCTTAGGCCCTACCAGGGGTTTCTGCTGCTCATAATACCAGCTCTCCTGGTCCCTCAGAGGGCCTGGAGCTGGGAGCCAGACAGCCCCCTCCCATCCGGGAGACCTTCCTCCAGGTGGCAGGACTTGTGGTCTGCAGCTCTCAGAGCTACTACTACATTGTTTAAAAACTTGAGCCAGCAGCTGCCTGCTCGGCGTACAGCCAGGCTGGGGCCAGCAGGATAGAAGCCTACACCTAACAACCCTCAAAACGTTTGAGTCTTTCCTACTGAAACATTTTTTCCTCCTTTCTGGACTGGGAGATAGGGTTGGGGGGTGGGAAGGCAAGGATGGGCCTGGGTCCTCTGGGGGCCATAGTTCTCTCCCCAACCCACTCAAGGCCCGGCTAAGAACATGGAGGAAAGGAATCTCACCCAAGGAGTGCATGAACTGAGGGAATCTTTTGGATGGATGGACAGATGAACAGATGGGCAGGTGGGATAAGTGATGCCAGACGGTGATGATGGACAGATAATGTAATAGCTGACCTGTTGAGCATTTGTTACATGTCAGGCACTGAACTAGAAGATTTCATACATGTTAATGCAAGAAGGAAGGCCCATTTTCCAGATGGGGAATCTGCAGCTCAGAGAGGTTAAGGAACTTCCCAATATCACCCAGCTTGTAAGTGGTGACACTGGGACTTGCACTCCACTGAATGTATTGGAAGTCTTGGCTTTGGCTGGTGTGGGTGTCAATGGGGGTGTGTAGTGCGGGCAGAGGGGGAGCTCGGCAGGGCTCTTTCCTGTGTTGCCCCAGGCCAGGGGCAGGGGAGAGGGGTCACCTCCCTAGGGCTCACTTTCAGACACTTCTCAACCCCCCAACCAAGCTGATGCTGCATGCATCCCCTCCCCAACCTGCACCAGTTCTCACCCCACCTGCGGAGGTCTAATATCACGGGAAGGAAAAACTGCCCGACCCCAGAAACTTTAAGAAGGCCAGTGGTGCCCTCCCTTCACCCTTTCTCCCTTCTCCACCCCCTGCCCCTCTGTCAGAGGTCAGGGGTCGGTCGGGTGCGCGCACCTTCAAGGCGCATCCCCACCGTCAGGCACTTCTGGAAGCGGCAGAAGGGACAGCGCTTGCGCTGTGTCTTGTCGATCTTGCAGCTCTGGCTCTCGGTGCACGTGTAATGCTTGTTATTCTGCACCGTGCGCTTGAAGAAGCCCTGGGGGAGAGGGTCATCAGCGCGGGGGGGCGCCGGCCCCTCTCCTTGTTTCGGGCTGGGGTTGCCCTGCGACCTGCCCACAGCCAGTGCCCCGCGCCCGCACCCTGCAGGCCGGCTGCCCGCTCCCCGCTCACCTTGCAGCTCTCGCATGTGAGCAGCCCGTAGTGGTAGCCGGACACCTTGTCCCCACACACGGGGCACAGCTCGTCCAGGTCCTCATCGTATGAATAGTCCATACCCGCGGCGTCTGCATGCGGAGGGAGGAGAGGGTCACCGCGGGCCGGACGGCAACTGGCAGCGCGACAGACCTGGGTCCGGCGGGCCTGCACCATGGCGGCCCGAGCCCCCACCGCGCACTCCTTGCGCGCCCGGCCTGCTGCCCCGCGACAGGGCCCATGTCCAGGCCGCCCGTGGCAGGCCGCCCGTCAGAGCGCCCCGAGCAGTCCGCGTCAGGGGGCCCGGTCAGCCCCCCGCGCCTCGCCTTTACTGTCCCTGTCTCCATGCTCCCTCTCTGCGCTCTCCGCCCCTCCCTGGGGCTTGTCCTGCGCTGTCCCCGCCGCGCCCGATCCGGGACCCTCGGATTCGCTGAGCTTCGATCTGGATTCGTTCGTCTGAGAACAAAACCCCGATCCTGAGAAAACGAGATGGGCTGGCCGTGAGGGAGACTCCAACGAACCCGGGCAGAGAGGGGCCCGAGTGTTCTGGGGATCCGACAGGGGCGCGGGAGACAGAGACAGAGACGGAGAGACGGGCAGAAACGAGAGCGAGAGACATCAGCCACGCTGCTTAGGGGACGAAGCACCCCGGGGCGACAGAAGACAACGAGTATCCGAGGCCGAAAGAGACACATAAATGCCGAGTCAGAGAACCTCCGGGGAGGAGAGAGCGATCACGAGAGAGGGGGAGAGATGCCAGGGGCACCGAGAGACAGAGGCCTACGGGGGAAACCCGAGAGAGAACGCAGAGACGGAGACATGGTGGGAGACAAGAGACAGCCCGAGACACCTAGAGACGAAACCTGGGCGAGGAGGAGGCGGAGAGAGACAGAGACACCGAGAGAAAACCTGGGGAGACGGAGGCGCCCAGCCAGGGATGAGGAAGGTGAGCAGGAAGCGGCCGGACCCGCGAGCCCGGCCTGCGCGGCGTGGCCCCGCGGAGTCGGACCCAGACAGGGCTCGGCCGACGGAGGAGAAACACGACGGCTCCGGGACAGAGCCCGAAAGCGCAGTGCCGCGGGGCCCCGGGCTGGGAGGGACAAAGCCCGCGGCAGCGACGGCAACTGGAGGCGCAGCCCGTGCCGCCGAGACCCGGACGTCGGGCGGAGAGCCGGCGAAGAGGACGCAGAGGACGCGGTGGGCGCCCGGCGTAGAGTCGCAGGCAGGGAGCCAGGAGCAGAGACCTCGGGCGGAGACCTCGCGGGCTCGAGGAGGCCGTACCGAGGCCGGGGAGCGACCTCGGGCGGCGAGGCGAAGTCCCAAGAAGGGAAGCGCGCAGAGCCCGGGCTCGGGTAGCGAGAAGGGGTGCGACGGCGGCCGCGGCCCGCTCGGGGCCCACCTGGCGGCTCCTGCGAGCAGCAGCGCCCCGCGTCCCGCCCGCGCGGAGCCCCGCACCTCCCGGCCGCGCCGCCGCCGCCGGCGATGAGCCGCACCCGGGCGCAGCGCCGCCCGCCCGCGATGACGGCCGCTCAGGCCGGGGGCGGGGAGGCGGGGGCGCGGGGCTGGCGGCGCGGGGCCTGGGCGCTCCCCCCTTCGCCTCCCCGCCCCCTGCCGCCTCCAGGGCCGCTCGGAGGCGCACCTGGGACCCGGGCCCCTCCGCTGCCAATGCGCGCTGCGCGAACCTGAGGCGCCCGGCCGGCCGCTCTGTATCAGCGCGTGCGGTATCCGGGGGCGGAGGCCAGGCCCGCGCCCTCCTCTGTCACCTGGCCGGTCCGCGCCTTTACCCTCGCCCCCTCGGCCCCCTCAGCCCGGCCGCCCCGGAATCCGGGCAGGTGCTGGGCTCCTGGGAGCCTCGGGCCACCCGCTTGGGTGGAAGGAGGCGAGCCCGTTCGCAAATCCTGTTTCGTCGTGGCAAGGGCCACCGTGGGGGCGCCGGTCGCTTTGCAGCGTGAACGTGGGTCAGGGCGAACGGGGGGCTCGTGGCTAAGGCACCACCAGTTCAAGGCTAGAAACCAGGTTCTCGGCTCGGTCCTACCGCACTTCCTCACTGGGGTTTTAAGCGATTCTCCCCTACCTCCAGGCCTCAGTTTCCTCATCTGTGAAGTGGGAATGACGACTGGACTTCCTTAAGAGGGTGTCGTGTGGATCACTCGAGCTGGCGCTAGCAAAGCACATGCCTGGCACTACGGGGGTAATCAGTAGTACCAGCTGCGGGACCTGGGGCAAACCCTTTCTCCTCCATGGGCTTCAGTTTGCTTGGGTTGCAAATGGAAATCGTGCTCATCTCAACCCTGCGAGTTTTCTGAGGTCTGGTGAGGACCCGAAGGCACCGAGGGCGGGGAGCTGGGAGAATAGAGCCCGGGAGCAGGAAAAGCCCCTCTGCCTCGCCTGCGGTGCTCCAACCCTGGCTGGAGGCGGGGGTGGGGGTGGGTGGGAAATGGGGGTGCACCGGGCAGCCCCTGGGTCACAGGGATCCCTGGACTGGGTGGGCTGAGCAATTGCTCAGGCTGAGGAACGTCTACCCGGTCGGTTACTCTCAGTTGTCAGATGAAAAAATTGCGACCAGAGAGAGGAAGAGCCTGCTCTGATTTTGTCCTGCGACCCTCGGGTACCTAGGGTGGGAGAGTGTAGAGGGCAGTGAGGCCAAAAAGCCCCGATCATCAAGCAGGGAAATACCACAATTATGAGTACGCAGCGACGCAACCGAAGGGCCCAGATCTGAAGGCCCAGATCTGAAGGCTCGGATCCTTGGCTGCGGCAGCTTCTTCTGGGTCCCCAATCTGAGGCCTCTGACTTTGGATGCGCTGTCGCCTTGGTCTTGCAAGCCGGGGCCTGGAGACCCTGCGCAGAGCACTCCTCATCTTGCTCACCCCGCGGTAGGAAGGGAGGAATTTTCGGCCAGCCTGCTCTGCGCAAGCTCTGTCAGGTCACTTCGCGTTTCTAAGTCTCAGTTTCTCCAAATATAAAATGGAAAAGAATGACACTACAGAAAGGGTTCTGTAGTTTCTGTGGGACGCCACGAAGGAATCTTGTGAGGAAGGAGGAGAGCGAGCCAAAGCCCAAGTGAGTTGCAGAACCCCTACCCCCACCCCAGCCAGAGACACAGTAGCATCTGCCTAAGCTGGAGGCGGGGACTACTGCCTCTGAACAGCTATCCATCTAGGAGGGGCCCTCAGAAAGTGGAAAACAGGAGACACCACCTCTGCTTGCGAGCAGTGAGGGGGCTGAGGCGGAACGCTGGGCTAGGGGTCCCTAGTTGGCTTCTCCAGGGTGGAGCCCACAGGGGCCTCCTGGACATTGTTGAGGAAGAACCAAGCAGTGAAAGCACAAGTCTGGGCTGGGGTCATGGAGGTGGGGCCTGGGCTCTGGTCCCAGGCCTCTCATCTTCCTCTGCCCCCACCCACCTTTTGCCAGAGGCCCCACTGGCACAGGTGGGGAGCCACTGGGTTGATGCTCCAGGCTCCTCTGCACTCACCCCACAAAGCCCCAAGTTCAAGGTAAGTATGTGGAGAATCACAGCCCGTCACCCACCTATTCAGGGAAGCAAACATTGACCTGGCCCAGCCACAGAACCTGGACTGACAGATGGACAGTGGAGACAAACATACAAATTCACCCGGAGACACAGAGACAGCACAGACAAGCATTCAAGGAGACCCAGAGACCCAAAGGCCCAGGGACCATGGACACATTAATGGCCTACTACGCTAGAGGCCAGCACGGCCCTGTGAACACCCGGCCACCAGTGTACAGCAGGGCAGCTGCAGACCCCCAAAGCCTGTTCCCAGAGGCCTCGCTCCTCCCATCAGATGCCCAGATGCCCAGATAAAAAAAGGGGGTAGCGTGGTGGGAGGGCAGGTCTCGGGAGATCCCTGGTCCCTTCCCTGCCCAGACAGCGGGCACCAGTCCCTCAGCAGAGAAGGCAGGGGCCGGCACAGGCCGCAGGGAGGCACTAAGGAGGGAGGCTGGCCATTAGAGGCCTGGGCCCAGGCCCTCACTTACGGAGCAGAAGGCGAGCTCTCACGCTGGATGAGAGTGGACAGTGGGCACCGGGGGTCCAAGAGGAGGCTCTGGTGGCCCAGGTGGGGCAGTGGTGACCGTCGGCACACAGGAACTTCTTCAAGCCACCACGGGCGGCAGGCGGACAGTAGGCTGGCCCTGTCCGTCCGTCCTCCTCCTCCTCCCCGCCCTGGGGGGGGGCCACCGGAGGCCCAATTGGTCTCTGCCCCCACGTGACTTTGCAGGCCTCCTTCTTTGTTGGTGTTTCTCTTCATTTAGGTCTATTTTTTTTCTTCTCCTAAAAGAAAAAAAAAATACCCCTATCTATCTGGGGGCCGCGGGTGGGGGCGGAGGCCAAGGCACTCTGCAGGCCTTGGCCAGCTGGCTGTTCCAGGCCGCTGTGGGAGCCCAGAGGCAGGGACCCCACGTAGGCGGGTAGGCAGCCCCGCTTGTTAGCGACTGGGTGGGAGTGGGGCCTGATTTATGGGCAACTCCCCCACCCAGCCTGTAGCCTGGCTGCTCTCCCCTTGAAAGGCTACCTCTCTGGGGCCTGGTCCCTCTGGGGTCCAGCCTGGCCCAGACAAGGGATTGAAGTCAGGGTGGGGTGGCGTGGAAGCAGGGGCATGGATGACTTGACCAGATGTCCTGCTGCTTTGGCCTGGTCTTTTTACTCTTCCAGAAGGTGAAGAAAGGAAGAGGGGATGGAAGGCGAGCAGGTGAGCCGACTGAACACCTCCTATGTGCATTCCATGTTTGCTTCTCCGAATGCCACCACCTGCCATGAGCCGCTGATGCTCCCAGTTGATAGCTGGGGAAGTTGATGCTGGGCTGAGGCTGCCTCCAGGGCCAGGTGGTTGGTGACAGTGGCCCTTGGTTGGCCCAAGTGGGTAGGTAGGCCAGAAGAGGGCCGGGCAGAGGAAAGGGGGCTTTATCTAGAAGACCAGGCCTCCCCACAAACTGGGATGTCCCTGTCCAGTCTTAGGCCCAGACAGGTCCTTAGTGGCCTGGTCTGTAGGGCCCAAGTTGCTCTGCTTTGCACCCCTCCCATACACAAGGCCCTCTTTTGTGAACTCCTACATTCATCTCACATTTACTGAATGCACACTGGGTGCCAGGCACTGGTCTAGGACCTGGGGAAAAGACAAGAAAAGGGAAGAAGTCTCTGTCCCTAGAGAATTTACCTCCCAGCTATTCTTCCTGGGGGTTGGGGAGTGGCACGGAGGACCATGGGGCAATCACGCTGACAGTTCCCCTATAATCCTCTTTATTTGAGGAAATAGGCAAATCACACAGAACACTCACCCAGCTTGGAATGAGAGGGATTGTTCTGGATAACTGAAACCAATTATATCGTAAAATCTAGTGTGTCTTCCTCATAGTGCCGCACAAAACATATTTTTATTGTGAAAATACATACAAGACAATAATTTACTGACAGTCATAACCAAGTGATTCTGATAACATGCACAGTCGTCCCCCATTGTCTGTGGTTTCTCTTGCAGTTTGAAAGCACATGTTCTGAGGCATGATCAGAGGGTCAATAGTAGCCTAACACTACGTCATAGTGCCTACATCATTCACCTCACTTCATCTAACACCATCACAAGAAGGGTGAGTACAGTACAATAAGATAATTTGAGAGAGACCACATTCACAAAACTTATATTCCAGTATCTTGCTATAATTGTTCTATTTCATTACTTATTGTTGTTAATCGTTTACTGTACCTAATTTATAAATTAAACTTTATCATAGCTATGTATATATAGGAAAAAAACAATATATATAGGGTTTAGTACTATCTGCCATTTCAGACATCCACTGTGGGTCTTGGAACATATCCCAGGTAGATAAAGGGGGATGACTGTATGCTAATTCTACTTACATAATATACAACTTATTTCCTAATGTACATGACCTCATAATTATGCCTCTTTCACCCAGAGAAGTTTTTACAAGATTCATTTCCCTTGCATATGGCTGAACCTAACTACCCTCCCCATTCTAATGTAGTGATTTTGTTTCTGGATCAATACCACTCATCCCCTGAATTTAAGAAAGAAATAGTCCAGAAAACCCTACACCACTGACATGTCACATACATGTAATAATAATTATGGTCCTTTGTACCTCTTCTGATGGGAGACTGTGAAATTGGGTCCATTTTCCCTGCCTTCTTAAACAGGACAAACAGGGTCTTCCAACACCATGATGCCATGGAAAGAACCAGCCTGGCTTTGCCAGTCTCCTGATAAGGCCTTGAGCCCTGAGAAAGAGATTTGCTGGATTAAATCCTAGTTCTGCCACTTACTTACTGTGTGACCTGGGACTAGTTACTTCCCCTCTCTGGGCCTCATGTCCTCTCCATAAACTAAGGCTAAAATGAGACAATACACATACTCTGTGGTTGCCTGACATGTTGTGTGTACTCAGTAAATGTTAGCAAAACACAAGCAGACAAGGTGAAGGACTGGCAGATCTGTTCTCAGGGGCCCTTTCTATTTGGGTCTGAGGTTACATCATCATCCTGAGCACTCTTTGCCCTTCCATAAATGACTCATGCCAGCCTGGGGAGCCCTGGAGGAAAGGCTTAGGGATGATTTATCTCCAGGCCCACAGCAGCCAGCACCGAGGAAGCATCAGTGTTTGTTGAATGACTGCTTGCCTCTGCACCAAACATACAGTTCTGCTGCTTGCTCCTTCTGTCCTGTAGCTTTCTCTGTAGGCGGTCAGCTGTCACTTCACCACTTAGCTGGGTGCTCTTCACCCCTAGTCACCCGGCTGTTTTCTGACATCCCCTTCCTCTGTGTTGCCCCACCTCTGCCCTTGCCCTTGTTGGATGAGGCATGAGTAATGGCAAGGCCTACTGCCAAAGTGCTCCTACATGCTGGTCCCCTACTAACCATTCTTCACCTGTGGTCTCAAACCCTCTCTACCTTCCTTGGAGGTAAGTAGCATTTTCCCCTCACCTGCCATGAGCAACATTTCAGAGCTGGAAACTCAGGTTAAGAGAGACACGGTGTCTTTCCCAAGTTATCACATGACACAAAGGGCACGATGGCACCAGGATTCCAGTCCAGCCAGTGGGAGCCCAGAACCCTCCCTGCCTTGCAGCTCAGTCCTCTCCACTCTGCCAGAGCCCCTGGGTGGCCTATTTGTCTTTTCCTTCAAGCTCCAGCCCAGGTGGTCCCAGGCCATAAGACCCACCCAGAGGGGAAGGAGAAGGGCTGTAGTACTGACCCAGGGTCTCCCTCCCTCCCTCTCCAAGCAAACAAAGCCCAGATTCCCTCTTCTAAGTGGGGACTTTCCCAAAGTGCCAGGCCTATTTCCTGGAGGTGGAACAAGGAACAAACAAACCAGAGACCCAGAAACTTAAAGTGGAGAGGAGAGAGACAGAACTGTGAGGCTGGGGTTAGGGTACAGTGTAGAAGGACAAAGAAAGACGCCACTGAGAAAAGGGGCAGAAAATGAGAAAGGGAGACCCATTGACAGCATAACCGACCCAAAGATGGCGAGACAGACAGACAGAAAGGGAGAGAGGAGCGAGGGAGGGAGAGAGGAAGGAAGGGAAGCAGGCTGAGAGGGGGCTGGAGGGGGAGAGGGAGAAGGAATGAGAGTAATTCAGATAAAGAGAAAGAGAAGAGATAGGGGGGAGAGAGAGACTGAGGCAGAGAAGGAGAAAAGAGAGGGGCAGGGGCTGAGCTGGAGGCAGAGGGAGTGTGGATGCGGAGACCCCTAGCAGGGGTGGAGGGGGTGGGGCTGCTGGCAGCAGCAGAGGCTGTTTCCGCTGCGCCCCTTATCAGCCTGCTGCCAGATGTTCAGATCCGATGCCAATGTCAGAGAAGTCCGTAGTGCTGGGTCAAGGCCGTGGCCAGCGGGAGCCTCAGCTGCAGCGCCGGGAGGGGGGCCGGGAACCGGCACTAGACCTGCTAGCTCTTCCCCCTCTGCCTCACGGCTCTCCAGGCTGGACCACCTGGTGGGGGTAGGCGAGACCAGGTGCCTCTGGGGGCTACTTCTCTAGTCTGAGAGCAAGGACCTGTGAAGGGAGTGGGGTTCCTGGCATCAAGTGGACAAATACATCTTTGCACACCCCTACATGCAAGGAAGTACAGGGACACACAGCCCCAAACTCATGCACAAAGCTACATGGGGACAACTCAGTCATGTGCACAGTTGCTCCACCACAGTGCTCCTCTGCGAGAACCCCTGCTCTGCCTGGCCGGCTTAGTGACCCTCTGGCCCCCCTCACCTGAGCTAGAACTGCAGCCACTGTTGATGAAGTGAGGCTCTGTGGTTGGTGGGGTTCCCCGGGCCCACCCTGCCTTTATGAACGCGACACTTGCAGAGAATCTGCACGCTCCCAAGGCCTGGGATGACGGACCTAGGACTGCCTAGAATGAGGCCTGGTGGAGGCCCTCAGGAGGAGATGCAGGAGCTGGGTGTCTGGCAGGGCTAAGCTCCAGCCTTGGGCCCGGGCCTCTCCAACCTGCTCCTGGTGCGTGCAGCCGCAGCTGGGGCCCCCTTCCTGGAGTAGTTTATCTTACTGTACACACGCTTGGCCCTCAAGGGGTGACCCAGCCTTGCTCCCCACATTCTTCTTCAGCCATGCAGCCGGTGGGCCCCCCACAGCCCTGAAACAGGGCCTGTACTTAGAGGGTGGTCAGGAGCAACCACTCAGAGCTGCCTGGCTGCCCTCTTGGCCCAGCCCTTTACATCCATCTAATTTTTGTCTCTGCCATAATGAATCTAGCGGTTTTTGCCTCAATTTTTCTCTGGGAATGTCCCAGTTTCTATTTGTCTCTTAATCTGCTTCTCTATAGGGTCCTTGAGTGGAGCCAAGTCTGGGATACCTCTGCTCTTGAGGCTCTTTGTGGCCAGCGACAATGGAAATGTAGGAGAAATCAGGCTGTGGGTGAGCGGGCAAAGGGCCTGGGCAGGTGGGGGGCCTTGGGCTTGCAACGGGGGGACTGGGGCAGCCAAGCAGCAGACTCCCTCTCGCTCACCTGCTCAGAGTCAGCCCAGATAATGGACATCGATCAGGGTGTGGAGCCAGCGGGGGCTCCCCTGTGTAGTAAAGACTAGTTGGTAGGAGGAGAAAGCTGGAGCTGGAGGTCTCCCAGCTTGAGGGCCTCCTTCCTGTTTGTAGGGAAGTGACTGCCTCAGAAAGTTGCTCAGGGGAGAGGAGGGAGGCCATGGTGACTTCCGGGAAGTTGGCCAAGGGCCCGAGGCCACCCTCCCTGTGCCCACATGGGGCCCACCGGCCCTGGCTTAAAATAGTGCAGTTCCTCTGTTCTGCTGCCCTGCCCAGCCCAGCTCTAAGGGCTGCTGGCCGCTGCCCCTACCACCAGCTTAGGCCTAGGGCAGAGGGAATTCACCCAACTATCCAACCTCCCCAGACTGGAGGCTGTTCACGACAATGTTGGTGGGGGTGAGGAGCTGCAGGGAAAGCAGGGCTCCCCGAGTTGGAAACTCTTGATTCAGGACTCAGCTCCAACAGTGACCGGCTGTGAAACCTTGGGCTGGTCCATTATGTCTCCTTGAGCCACAGTTTCCACTTATGTAAAATAGGGTGAGTGCCTGACTTTTAACCTAAATGAGACCACATATATAGACTCTTCAGAACCCTGCCAGGCATAAAGTAGACACAAAAACTGCAAGTTCCTTTGGCCTTGCTCCTCACCCTGAGGAAGGGCCTCCCTGGAGCTTTCTTTGGTTGCCACACTGCTCCTAGGACTAGGTGCTGAACACAGGTCTGTGGAGAGGGAGCATGCAGGGAGGGCAAGGAGGGGGCTGTGGTCTCCATGGTGAGACTTGTTGCCAAGGGAACGAGACTCCAAGAGCCCTGGGTCTGACAGTTGGACACTCTTGCCACAGGATCTAAGAGAAGCTGATTCCCACTGTGGGTCTAAAACCCTGGTGGGCAGTCCGGCCAAAACCAGGCAAAGCCCAGGAGGTGGCTTCTGGCTCTGCTAGGTTCCTGCTATTAGAACGTGAGGGGCTGCCGCTCCCCTCACACAGCTTCCTTTTATGGACTGACTTCATTATGCCCCTACTTCCAACCAGCCACAGCAAATCCTCCTTAAACCCCTAAGACACAGGCACCATCATCATCTCCATTCATCTGACCAGGAAAGTAAGGATGAGAGAAGGATATTTCTGGGTTACAGCCACATACAGCTGCTAAGGGTGGAGCTAAAATTAGAACTCAGATGGTAAGACTCCTGGTTGATGTGCCTACTGTCCCACAAGCTGCCTGAAACAATCCCTGGGAGAGGACTCCATGTAGCTGCACCCAACCGGATCCCAGCACCCTCCCCTGCCATCATTTCTGGTGGTTGCTGGCTTCAAACTGATATAACCCAGAGCTATTTCCTTCTCAGTTACACAGAGATTAACTAATTTACCTCAGAGGGTTTGCATAAGGATCTCAGCACAGATCCTGCCTAATATGCAGTCAATGATGGTTCATGTTCATTCCTGAGGTTACATACAAGTTAGGGCAGCCTTAGACAAATTACTTACCCTTTCTGGGCCTCAGTTTCCTCATCTATAAAATGGGATCACTGTATCATCATCAATCAGTAACTGGATGCACATAAATTGCTTATCTCTGCCTTGCTCTCTCTGTATGTTAACGACTTCACCGTTTGCTTCCAAATTGCCTGGTACTCAAGGAAAACAAAAGCTCATCCCTAGTTAAATGTAACAATTTACAAATTTAGAGCAGTGTCCTAATTTTATTCCATGGAATACTGTCCCAACATAATTTTAACAGGAGGGGAAATATTCCGTGCTCACTTTTGACAGGAAGGTAGAGTGAGCGCAATACTTCCCAGATTTTTGGCAATAGGAGTCCTACCTCATTTCCAATGGAGTCATCTTGCAGGTTGTCTTGTGTTCTGAGAAACCACACAGATTTGGTGTCTGCAGCATTCCACGTATATCTGGGACAGCATTGCTTTTCAGATCAATTTGGTTGAGTCTGTTCATTTACCTCTTACAGAAATCAATCCTTTATTAGTTTGATAGTCTTGTTTGTCAACAAGTTCAACTGAAGGCCATGACTGAGCTTTGTTACAAACTTGACAATCACATTCAGCACTACTGAATTGCTAAGGCTGAGCAGGGAGGAAGCTTGTTGTAACTTTGGTCCAATCAGATAGACCTGGACTCAAAAGCCAATCCTGCCACTTGTTCATGTGTCATTTTAGGCAAATGGCTTAATTTCCTCAAGCCTCGGTTTGCTTGTGAGTATAATGGGGCTGGGGCCTATAATACCTTGCAATATTGTTACGATTACAGAGACTATGCACGTGACGTACTGATCATAGTGCCTGACACTGACTAGGTGTTTAGCAAGTGCGTTCCTTTTCTTCCTTGCACCTCTGTGTATTTGTTCCCTCTTGTGGAGCAAGGAAGAGTCTATTAATTAGTTCTGCAGCATTTCTTTTGTTCTAAAATCATTCTTTCAAACCACAAGGGCTCTCTGATCCCTTGTGCTGGAGGAGGTAGAGGTATAGGAAGACAGCTGGGCTTCCCCTCATTTCACACATGAGGATTTAATAGATTTTGGACCACTCTCCTCAACCTTTATCTTCCCAAACTAAGGAGCCTTCATCTTTCCATCTGTCTTCATATAATCCTCAACCTAAACCCTGCCACTTCTCTGATCATATGAACAGCAGGACTACAAGACAGTTGAGCAGATCTGGTTCCACTCCTGATCCTGCCACTTCTCACTGAGATTTTGGGCACCATCCTTTTGACATCTCAGAGCCTCTGTTTCCTCAGTTATAAGAAAACCTGGTCTATTTTAAGACAGGTATTAACTGGCTGGACCACAGTGACATATGAGGCAGGCCACCCACCAGCACACTATCATAGATGTAGCAGGCAGCTCTCCTTACCCAAACTCCTGACTGTGGCATTCAAGGCTCCCAGTGCTTCTCCAGCCTCAGCTCTTGCTAATCCCTTTCATCTGCCACCATTCCTGCCATAGCAGTCCCTTGTTATACCTGAATATCCCATCTGTTTCTGATTTACAGCTGGGCCTGCAAACATGTTGTTAATCCCTCTACCCATCTATCCTCCACTTTCTCTCTGGTAACTTTCCCCAGGCCCACCCACCTTCAGCACTCATCGGTGAAGCCCTTCCTAAGAACAAGCCATTCCCTCCTCTAGGTCCCTACAACCCCATCCACGTCTTTAATAACATTATTAATAACCCCGATCCCACTGTTCTGCAAAGATCTGTTTGCCTCTCCTACTAGAATCAACCAGTTTTTATAGTTGTGTCACTTTCTGGCTGGGTGACCTTGGATGAGTCCCTTCACCTCACTTAACCTTAGTTTCTTCACTTATAAAATGGAGGTAATAATCCTTGATGCTGAGAAGGTTCAGGTTTATGAAAAGTCCCAACAGAGGATCCTGGCACACAAAAGCAGACACCTTAGTCAGACCCTCAACAATAGTAACTGGGTGGGTGTTAGCTATAAGCAGGAGCAACAGCTCTGAAGGCACAAGCCGGCTCCGTGGGACACTCCATTGTTCCTCCCCAGAACCCCAGTCAAGTTTCAAAGACAGATGCCATGTGCAGAGGATTCACATTTATTGGTTCAAATACAGTACCTAACATTTGCTAAACATGCATTTCACACTAATTGGTCACATTTCCACAGGTAGTCAATTCACAGAAAAGGGCCCATCCCTTACCAGCTGGCAGGGTGGGAGGTAGCAGAGGGCCTGGGTAGCCTGCAGAGCCCACCAACTATCATTTGGTCATGCAGGATTGATGGAGCCAGGCTGGTGGGCAGCCCTTGGCCGGTCCTTTGGGAACAAGGGCTCAGAGACATCCGTTTACTCGATTCCTACACAGGATTGTGGGTAGAGGTGGGCCTAGGGTAGGTGGCCCTGGAGTAGACTCATGGCTGCACATGCCACCAGAGCCCCTTACGGGGGTGGTGTGGGAGGTGGTGCTCCCTGTGCCTTGGATCATGGGAAGGAAATGGACGCCTCTTCGAAGGGTGGCTGGTCCCTGGCTGGGCAGGTGGGGAGGACTCCGCAGACATTGCCCAGACATTACAACGCAGCCACAAGCCCCTATCACAAACCTGGGACGGCGACACAGACAAAAACACCAACAACCCAGGGCAGGCGGGTTTCTTTCCCGACAGAAACATGTAAACAGAGCAGGAGCTACAGAGCTCTTTTCCCACAGTATTCCTCAAAGAATAATCGACCAGGATGTCACTCAAGAGGTAGTTTTTTTTTCTTTTTCATGGAAATTTGAGTCAACATTATCACCTATTATAAGACATTTCAGAGAAAGAAAACAACGGTCACCAAAGGGCAAAAATGACCCTTTGGCTGGCAAGGCTGGCTCCAGGATTCAGAAGACTAGCCTCCACCAGTTAGTACAACTTTTTTTCTTGGGCTTAAAGCAAGCTCTGGCCTGGCTCACAGCTTCAGTTTGAGCCTGCGATTGATGCCTGAGGTGGTTGTGGCCCGTTTAGGGCTGTAGGCTCAGAGGAGGGAGGCCAGATGGGGACTGGATCAGACTGAGGGACCAGGTCTCTTATGAGTTGGTAGAGGCAGGGCCACTGTGATTCATGTTGCAGGACAGCCAGAAGTCAAGTCTCAAGGTAGCCAAGGTGCAGCCAGAGGAAGCCCCAGTTTGTCCCCACACTCAGAATGCTCTCTGGGGCTCCTGCCTCTGAGAGAACAGTCCAGGTCTGGCTCCCAAGTCCAGAAAAGAAGCTGTTGCTCATGCCAGCCAAGAGAGGGGTTTCTGGGGACCCTGTAATTAAATACACATCCCTGAGCTGTGGCCCTAGAAACCCTTGCCCTCAAGGTTAATCGGTTTCCAGCACCTGGTGGAATGATTGCCGTTTCTCATCCTGAGACACAGATAAAACATCATTTCACAGACACTGGACATAGATGCTTCAAGCCAAGGAAAAAGGGAGGAATAATCAACTGCAAAGGCAGAGGGGAGTGCAGGGGAACTCTCATAGATCAAGTAGGGGGACCTAAGAGTAGTTTTTTGTATACATTTTTTGTTTACTTTTTTAGTTTTTTTTTGTTTTGTTTTGTTTTATACTTTCAGAAAATCAATAAAGAAAAATTTAAAGTTTAATGAAAGGGTTGGTCTCAAAGTCTGGATTTCTTAAAACAACTGCAAAATTTTAAAAAGCAACATGGGAAAAAGACATAAACCAGGGGCCCAGAGCTAGACTTGGAACCACTGCTCAACTTCCTGCCCTGCTAGGAGGCCAGGGGCCCTTTACTTTGGCCAATGTTGGACATGACTTAGATGTTGCCCATGCTGAGTTTATCTGTCTGTCTCCATCCATCCCATTCCCCAGCAAATCAAGAACTAAAGTAGGAAATGGATAGCATAACAAGGCAGCTAGCTCAGAGAGCCCAGAGCTTTAAGGGCCTATAGACATATTGGCAATGGCAGGTACTCAATTCCCTGAGAAGGGGTAGTAGGTGAGAGGGACGTAGGTATAGAGTGATGCCACGGTGACCCCTAGGTTCCCTCTCTCCCTCCTCGGGTTCTGGGGAACAGGACAGAGAAGCTCCTGCCTACTGCCTCCTATTCCTAGAGGTTCACCCACCACACCTACGGGTTGGGCATGGGGGCTGGGTAGCCTCTAAGCCAGGTGGAGTGCTTTGAGATAGGTTCTGGGGAGTTTCTCCAGACTAAGGGAAAGACCACCAAACCTTGTGAAAGACTCCAAAAGTCTACAAGGAGCCAGAGAGCATGAGTTGCAGGTGAAGTTCCAAGATTTCAAACTTTTGTCTTGGGTCAAGAAAACATTCAAAGGGAAAAGAAGGGAAAAACTTGTATGTTTCAACACAGTGCAAGGAGGTGGGATTCTCCTTTTACTACACAGCTTTCAGGGTCATTTTTATGATGGAAAAATTCTCACTCAAAGTGACTGTTGTTGGTGGCAGGGGATCAGAGAGAGGACAGAAGAGAGGGGAATTATACAACAAGCACAACTTCTTTCTTCTTCCACTAGCAAAAGGGCTACCTGTTAACCAAACATTATGGGAAGAAAGGCAAAAAACAAACACATCAAACCTCCCCCTCCAACTTTTCTCTGTGTCCTTCAAACCAAATTCACAAATACATCTAGTGGCTGACCTAATGTCTCCACGCTTCTAGCTACACTCCTACCTTCTCCTCACAATACCTGAGTTTGCAATGCAACACATTCACTTTACCCTGTTTAAAAAAACCCCACGTCATAAAAGGACTGGGTGCAGAAGACATTAAAGGTGGTCCACAGGTCAGGCTCTGGCTCGGAACACTCGGCCACTTGGCTCAGAGATTCTGCAGGGCTCTTGGCAATGAATGGGCTCTTTGTTCTGTGGAACCTGCTGCAAACATTTGTAAAAATGGATTTGTACAATGGCAACTCGCAGAAACTTTTTCCCCACTCCACAAATTAACAACTTGCTCTGTTTAGTGCTGCATTATTGGAGAGACACGTTCTTGCTTCATCACAGAGTAATTTCCTTTGATGCCCAATGCAACTGGTAAAATGCTTAAGAGAAAATCAATTTCCAAAAAAAACTGATCTGACAGATAGAAGTATAAGCAAAGAAAGATGCTGCATATAGAAGCCATCTTAGAGAATCTCTGATGTGTCCCCTATCTTGAAAGCAGCTCAGAGTCTGACCTGTAGCCAAAGAATGTGATCTAGTTGGTTAAATAAAAAATTCATGGAAATAAAAATATTGTGAACTTAGAAATAAAGAGACACACATACACACACAAGTCTTCCCATTGACATGTGAAGAACATTCTGGCTGGAGCTTTTCCTGAGGAACATGTCTCTTCTCTCTTTCTTTGCTTTTCTTTCTTTCTCAGAGCAGGTGGGGAAATGGCATTGAGGAGTAATGCTCTGAGTCTTAGATCCATCAAGGGACAAAGTCATCACTCTGCTGGTACCCGTAACATTTCACTGGAAAGAAAAAATTACAATCCAACACAGGCTACCCAGCACACACATGCTGTGGTGGCCCTCTGGGTAAGTTTGCTAGGCCAAGTTGGGAAAAGAGCAAACAGCCTTTGACTAAACAGGCTAAAGGAGGTGCGGTAGGCCCCTCAAGCCCATCCGGGGATGCACCCAGCTAGATGGGCTGTCTGCTGCATTGCCTGTGGGATACCTGGGTGGAAGCAGGAACTGCTGTGATAAGGCAGAAAAGGAAAAGCACCTCAAAGAGTTCCAAGACAGACATGGTATGGCCACTGGCCAAAGCAAAGAGGGTAAGAAACACTTCACAGGACGAGGTGGGGCAGGTAGTGAAAGAACAAAGGGTTCAGGCTGCATCTGCAGAGGGGGCAGCCAGGCCCTTAGGAACATGAGGTAGTTTAAAGCCCCCCCTCTTCCAGGTGCTTTAGACTCCAGCCTTCCAGGCCCTGGTCCAGCCAGGCCACTGATACTCTAAGGGGCAGCTGAGCCACTCGGGTCTTGGGCTTTCTGTTCTAAGGAAACCTGGTCTCACTTTGGAGAAATTAGGAGAAGTTGGAGTAGAACGTAGGGGCAAAAATTCTGGTCAGCAGATGGGTGACTGGACCTTTCCACTGTTTGAAGAGACTGCAGGGTTTGAATTCATTCCTAGGGGAGGACGGGACAGGGGAGGGAACATTGAACTCCATGGGAAGGGTAGTTATTCTTTTAGCAGTCTGGCCTTTGTCCCTCTACCCTCTAAAGAAAGTAAAGTGAAAAGAGTATAAATCAGTAGTGAGCACTAGGATTCAGAGCCTGACATTTTGTTCAGTTGTTTTTTCAAAGGGCCGATAAAAGGTCAAATTTAAAAGAGAGAAGCAAGGAATCAGAGGAAGGCAGGCCGTTGGTAGATCCAGGAAAGAAAATTAGGTAGCTGTGAGCACTAAAGGAACTGGTAGGCAAATCCTGAGGGTTAGCTTATTGCCAGGACTTTGCCTGGTGAAAGTCTGGAAGTGGCAGAAACCTATAGTTGTAGTTCAGATGGTAGGGAGGGGGTCCCCACAATGTGATGTGAGAATAGAAACTCCTTTCCTAAGGATTTGTTTGGAGGGAGGACATCTAACTTAGATTTGGTCACTGTGCCCCACTCTCTCAACTTTCATGCTTTCCAGAGAAAAGAAATGGCTAAATCCTCATCTCCTGTCCTGTTCCCAAGGCCTCACCCACTTTGCTTAGTAAATCTCCTAACACCACTTTGCCCCTTTATGGTGTGCTCTTTTACCTGGCAATTCTGTGGCTAGAAAAGGCAGTTTGCTCTCTGACAGACAAATGTACGAGTCTGCTGAGAATATGTGGAAAAAGTAGGGATGGTCATATCCCTCCTTTTCCACTGAGGTAGTCGTCTTTGTCAACATTTTGGAAATATTCATCTCAGCCCCCTCCCACCCTCTCCCTCAAAATACAAAAGAACTATCTCTAAACAATGACAACACTGTAACATTAAACATCTTCACATTCTGTAAACTGCAAGGAAATGCATCGGCTGCATTCACACAAAAGCATGTGCATCATGTTGAAGGCCATACATTCAACTCTGTCGTGAAATAAATATATAGAAAAATGAGGTTAAAAAAACAGACAAACAAACAAAAATTCTCCTTGCTTTGGAGGCAACTGGAAATGCTGCCCCACAGCCTCCATCTTGGTCTCTCTGGCTCTTTCTTCTGGAGCCTGTCCTGCCCACCCAAGGCGCTGTGGTTGGCCTGAGGAGGGGCTCTGGGAACAGGTCATTCTTTGCTCACACTTGTCTTGCAGGAATGCAGCACCACCTTAAAGAGGAGGGGCAGCTGCTCCAGGGGTACATTCACCATCTTTCCTGGGAACAAGGTGAGAAAAAAAGAGTTAGCAGTGGCTCTGGTGGAAAGGCATGTCTACCTCCTCTTGGGGTGGCAAAGAGAGAATGTTGCCTTTTTGAGTGACTGGGGCAAGAAAAGTGCAGGGCATCACAAAGGTCAGATAGACCAGGCTAACATCCTGATACCCAGATCCATTTTGATGCCATAGAGAGCCTCATAATGGTGCAAGTTATAATCGTTGCAACTATCCAGGGAATATTTACTCCATGCTAGGTGTTTAAATGTATTATCTCATTTAATTCTCACAGTATTTCTGTGTGATGGGCATTACTTTTTATCCCCATTTTACAGATGAGGGGTCAGAAACTGAGAGGTATTACCAGATGCCTTCTAAGAGCTAAAATACCATGAGAAAATCTGGTTTTTCTCTCTTTTCTAGGTAGATTCTCAAAACTAGCATTCTATAAAACACTGCTCTTCAGAATAGTATAACAAATTAATAAAAAGTACTGAAGGAAAAGAAGCAGGGGTTGGGGTGTCTGAAAGGGGCAAATAAATTTGTAAAATTCAGAATTAAAAAAGGTACATAGGTTTCTTTATTGGAGGACTTCTCAGAGCATTCAATGTGCTAATATACTCTATAAATATATGAGACTGTGGTTCTTCTCCCCAGTAGTACCTTAGTCACTTGGGGAGTTTTTAGTCAATATGGATGCCTAGGCCCCACTCCATACCATTAAATCAGAATCCTGGAGGTATAACTCAAGCACGGATATTTTTTAAAAGCTTCCCAAGTGATTCAAAGTGCTGCCAGGGTTGAGAACCTAGCTCAGTGGAGAGAGGAGTATAATTACTGACTTTCTTTTATTTCAGAGAGCATCTGATAGATACTCATTTGGTGGAACATAATTTTTACAATGCTGAGGCATAAACTATCAAGACACCCCTAAAATTCCAATACTTTAGGTCAAGTTTGTATCTGCTAGACTACTCTGGGCCCGGAAGGTGGAAGAAAATTCCTCTGTCAGACTGAAAATTTTTTCCTTCAAAATTGTGCTGCTGAATTTGACAGGAACAATCTCTATCTAGGGGTCATTTTTCTTAACTGACTCTCAGTATGTGCTGGATAACCATAAACAAGAATCTTTACCAAATGAAGTAAAGCAACAATGACAACAGAAGCCAGGATTTTATATTGAAATGGACCTATTTAAATGTCAGAAAGCTCAGATGTGGTCTTTTGTCAAGACCACAAAGCAAAACAAAAATTCCTTTGCAGAGGATTTTTTAGAACTATTTTAAAGATGCCACTTTAAACAAATGATCCCTGACAACCTATAGGCAATTCTATAAAATGAAGTTAAATTTTTAAATTGAGATACACGTAATTCACGTGCCATAAAATCCACCCTTTGAAAGCATACAATTCAGGAAATAAAGCCAGTTTGAAAACACTAAGCTTATTTTCCCATCCACAGAATGATCATAGTATCACCAACCACCAGGCTTGCAGAGATTGTTTTGAGATTAAATGATGTAAGACTATAAAGTGTCTTGCACATCACAGGTACTTAGGTAATGTTAGGTTCTCTTCCCTACAAAGAAAACACAAACTTCTCATCACCTCTGAAGGCTAGGACAGTACCTCTTTCACACAGCTGGTGAAGGGCCTGGAATGAGCATCCTAAAAACATTGCTTGCTTCATTCCCTTCACAAGCTAAAAGAAGCAAGGAAGGGTTGAAAGCCCAGAGCTAAGAATGTTACCTGCAATATATCGAATCTCAGGTAAGCACATCATGAGGTCAGGAAAGCGGTTCGGCTGATGTGTATATTTATATTCAGTGAAATCCTGGCAAATGTACCAATATCGCTTGTTCAACTGTTCCAGCTGTGAGGCACTGCTCAGACCCCTGATATCTGTGAAAAAACCACACAGGAAATGGGAGGGGCTTTCTAATGTGGAAGAAATATCAGCTCCTTGAGTATGTGCACCTTTCAACTGAAAGTTATTACACATTGTCACAACTGAGGATATTTTCTCTTTCTGACACAGATTAACAAGCTCTGGATAAGGGAAGACAATATAAATTCTATATATAAATTTTACTCAGTCTTTGAGGCCCAGTTCAGATTTCTCCTCCTCCAAGTAGTTGCTACTGATCTCCCCACATCCGAGGCTCAAGTAATGTACCAAGTGCCACTGGAGTATATACTTCTTGAGGCCAGGGACCTGGGATCTAATGTATTTCAATGTCCTTAATGCTCAACACAGGGCCTTGTCTAGGGGAGGCACACAGAACATTAGATAAATGCATGAATGGTGCAGAAGTGGGAGGAGGGGGTTTGGCCACTGTTGTGGTGGGGGAGTGGGCAAAGAAGAAGGGATTGAGAATTTCTGGACTAGGAAACTGAATCAGGAACAGAGCACTTTCAATGTCACAGGCAGCAAAACAGCCCAGTTCCACTCAGAGGAGAACATGCACATGCTACTTTGGAAAGCAGAGAATACAAATTCTTCCTCATACTCTGGTTACCAGCAGTCACCAAGCACCCCTTTGCAGGTAATACTCCACTGGATAAATCATATCTAGTACTCTTCTATTTAAAAGCCATGCTTGACACTGTGTACCTGCACTCTGCCCTAAAGGGGCTGACAGAACCACTGCCAGCCTGTCACAGAGGCCTTATCTCCAATAGTTTCATCAGTCACTCTGCTCTTCTTCAGTTGCTGGTAAACTTGGTACATATTTTAAATGACGCATGTACTGTCCTTGGGTGTCCGTGTTTAAATGCGTTAAAACTGACTAAACAAAGTGAATCCTCTTCCTTCTCCTGTGGCATTTAGTTTAAAGAAAAAAATCCAAAGCTTGCTCTGCACGATAGAGGGGCAAGGTAATGATGAGGGAAGCACAGGCCTTCTAAGACTGGTACCCACATGGTGTGACAGATTCTGGCTGACAGTACCAGGGATGAAAGGTTGGGGGGCAGGTATGAAACATGAGGGCAAATGCTCACAGACTGAGAAGAGTCTCTTCTTCCCGCCCCAGCCACTCACCTTGGTTTAAGAAGTTAATTGCTTTCATGCATGCATATTCCTCATTGCTGACCTTTAGCTGATGGAACTTGTGATACAGGTAGATAAGCCGCTCGATCACCTCCATCCCTTCGTCACTAAATCTGGTGAACAGACACAGGTGTTAACGGTGGGCTCTGAAATAAGTGAAGGGAAGGGAAGGGAAGACAGAGGTCTCCTCCAGTCCTTAAGGATAGAGAAGAGGCTGAGTTTGGAGGAAATGGAATCCAAAACAATCTACAAAGGACAGGTGGCTCCATGGTTTGTCTAGAGGCCAAGGCAGCTCACACAAGCCGCTATTCCCAAGGTCAAGTGGTATCAATCAAATCTAAGTTCCAATCCAGCTCCACCACATAAAAGCTTTGAGACCTTGGGAAAGTCATTTGTCCGTTCTAAATTTTGTGTTCCTCTGCAAAATAATGTTTGCTTGACTGAAATAACAGGGCCAAAGAAGGCTTTTAGATGTACATGTGGAGAAATAGGACATTATTAAGCTACTGCTATTGTTGAGATGCAGCCTCTAATATCAATGGCAGCTGCCATGGTGACTCTATACGAGCCTCTGCCACAATGCAGAAAAAGCTGCTGATTGTATTTAGTCATTCACTGTTTCCAGCAGGGTAAGGTAAGGCTATGCACAGTGAAATTTTTATTGGCATCCTGGACTTCAGCTAGGGAGGGAGGGAAACATTAATTGAGCCTCCATGCCATACCAGCCTCTCTGTGCTGGGCACTTCATGTGCATTACCTCATTTAATTTTCTCAGTCCTATGGTCTTGGTGAGCTCATCATCACCACAGTATGGATGAAAAACTGAAGTTCACATTGCTGGTCATAAAGACACAGCTAGTTGGTGGCAGAACTAGCAACCGGAACCTGGGCTAACTCCCAAGATCTTGGTTTTCCCAGAATCTAAGATGGTATCCCCTAGCAGAGAAGATTTCATGCTGACCCTGCTCCTTTCTTTGGATTTTCCTTGGGGGAAGACCAAGTTTTAGGCAAAGGAGCCACAGGCTAGGGAACTCTGGGTCATAGGGGAGAATATCTCATACCAGAGACAGAGATACCACCAAACCAAGGAGGCAAAAGCTTAATGGGGAAGCAGTAATTTATAAAAGCTGGTGTTAGCCCAACCTCCTCTTCTAGGAGTAGAGATGGCCTGTGGGCCAAAGAGAACTCCAGATAGGCCTCAGAGGCAGCTCAATCAGAGAGCAGATGCTCTCGGCCCCAGGGCAGCTTCCTGGTGACATGATCAGATCTGGGTACTGCAGCCTTGTGCCAGGCAAGAAAGCCCTATCTGGGTAGGGTCCAGAACAGGGGGCTGTTCTACTATCCAGGCTCTCCTGCTTTCTGCATTGACTCTGAAGGTGTTGCAAGGGTTTGGCTTCCTGGGCAAACAGGACGTTTTCTCTTCCCTGAGGAATGCCTGGCTTTGGTTAAGGCCAGCGGATCTGTACTTCTCAAGCACCAGGGGGAGCTGCAGCAGCTGCTACTTGCAATCCAGAGCTCGGCTCCTGAGCCGCTAGGCTCCGCTCCCAGTCAGGGAGAGGGCATTAGATCCGATCTAAACTATGCTGGCTGACTAGGGTTCTTTCAGTGCCTAGCCAGTGGCTTTTACAACTTCATTAATACTTTCCCAGGCTGATAAACACATTTATATTGAACAACCACTATAATAACCTTACCTACCATTCTACCATTTGTTGAATGTTGGTTACTTGCCAGGCACTTTATTAAATATTCTACATACATTATTTCACTGGATACTCTCAATAAATCCAAAAAATGGATATTATAATCCTCTTTGTTCACATGTAGTAACAAAGGTTCAGAGAGGTTTCACTGTGCCCCTATTTCATTCTTAAACTTTACCCTCCCGATAATCTGTGAGCTATAACACCTCCATATTAGGGATGAGGAAACAGAAGAGCTGCCTTCCCCAAGGTTACATAGCAATTAAGTGGAGGTAGGGCCGAGATTTTAAGCCTAAATTTTCTAATTCCAAGCCTGTTGCTTTCTCATCATTACCCTGTTCACTCCCTGACTATCTTTCTTAACTGGAAACTGGGAAAGGCCAGCACATGCTACACAGGGGACCATAGCAACTCAGGCTTGGGTTTGATGCAGTGCACAGAACTGCCCCTGCGGGGCCTCTATAATGCTGAGACTTACAGGGGGCAGTGTGCCTGCAGTGCAGGTCACTTCTCATCACAGTGGTTTGTTGGCTACTTTTGTTCTTGAGAGGAAAGTCTTTACTGCAAATCCCCTCTAGTATCTGCTTGGAGGAGCAGGGTGGGGATGGGATGGAGCATAAAAAAGGAGGCTGCAAACAGGGCAGCAGTGTCAGCATCTGTCTGGTGGCTGTGCAGTACAGCAAGCAAAGATAACGCTCTCTGCCTTAATCAGCAACCTCCGCCCCAAGTGCTCCCTCTGGCATTGTAGAACCTGCAGGTGTGTGGCTACCAGCCAGACCCCTAGCCAGCAGTGCCAAACCTTTTCCTAGCTGAGTCTTGACCTGAGGGGCACAAAGAAGCTCTGGAGTACCTAGCCTGAGCATATGCCCTAGATCTGCTTTTCTCTTGGGGAGAACATATACCCTCTTTTCCAATTTTCCTAGGACAGGCAACCATCATGGACCCCAGGCAGTGGGAGAGGGCTGGCAGCTGCCCAACAGCCCCCACTCAGTCTCCACAGCCTGACTGCAAAACTTTCCTCCACACCCCGCATCCCACCCCTTGATAAACAATTTGTCCTCTGTTCCATGGGCCTGCTTTTTCTTGCAGCCATGCCTCCTCCACATCTGCCCACTCCACAGCTCTAACGCCCCTGTATTCCGTCTACAAATTATCAGCATTCAAAGCCAGAAAGTTGGACAAACACACCCATTCTTCTTCCAGGTTCCCATTATACAAGCATGCTAGGACAAGGAAAACATTCCTTCCAGGATCTCCCAAACCACTGGACCATTCAGTCAGCAATTGAAGCTGACACTATGTAAGTTATGTCCCATTAAGGGGGCTGGGAGGTCCAGTTGTCTCTTTTTCATTCATCGAAATGTACCTACCCCCAGGAACAGGCATGAGCCACGACCCAAGAGGAACTGCCATCTCAGTACCAAGATAAAAAGAGAGACTGCTGTTCCAGGACACATTCCAGAAAGTCAAACTTTTGAGAAGGCTAAGAAGAATTATATAGGCTAATAGAGTGAAGAGTCTGGGCTTTGGAGCACAAGAGATTTAGTTGATAATCAACTCCATCTCTTTCTAGATTTGCAGCCTTGAGTTTTCACCTCTCTGAGCCTCATGTTGCTTATCTGTAGAACAGGGATAATAATAGTGTAGCCCCTTAGGGTGATGGTGAGGACTAAACAAATAGTTATTTAGCATTTCAGATAGAATTTGGCACAATGAAGTCTTTAATTGTTAGTTAATATCATTATTAAGAGCATCACCACTATTGCTCCCATTATCACAGCAATAATATTCTGTTTCCTGAACCTTACTGAGCAGGGTCCGAGCAGGGAAGCTGGGGTAACTTTCCTGGCAGAAATGGAGCTAGTTCTCATAAGAGAGAAGTGCCCATTAAAGCTCATCTAGTGCAAGGCATCTCCTCCTGAGAGTGAAGGAGTCTTGATTAGGGCCAGGAGCAGTCACTGACTGGTGCTACAATCTGCTTTAAATCAAATTCACTGGGCTCACTGTCTGATAACAGCCCGATTAAGGAAAATGGGCACCATAAATTTGATTCAATATTTGAGAAGAGAAAGGAGGTGGTCATGTATCATCTGGGAAAAGCCTCTTCATGACAGCAGGAACTCACACTTAGGAGCTGTGAGAAAGTAAAGGCATTTTGGAGGAGTGGGAGTAATGCAGGCGCAGGCAAGGTAGGAAAGAGCTATGGCTAATTACAGGCTCCACACTCTGGGTTTCTAGCAGAGCAGGGACTGCCTGCCATCAGTGAACCTGACTCCAGGGCTTCTTGGAGTTCTGTTTCCTCTGACCTCCTGAGCAGTTCCAAATGCATCTCAGACTCCACAGACCCCCAAACCAAACCAGAGTGGCTCATCTCTTAGTCTGTTCTTCCCAGGCTCCATTACGTTGGCTAAGAGATTTGGTATCCACCTGCCTGACAGCATCACTGACTTTTCCACTCACTAAAGTCCCACTGATTTTACCTCCTTGTCATCTCTTAATTCTGTGCCACCCTCTCCTACCCAGCCATCATATTCTAGCCCTGCCCATGCTAATCCATCCTGAGCTTTACAGCTACAAGGCTCTTTCTGAAATAAAACCTGGTCAGGTAAATGCTCTACTTAAAAACACCCTATGACTCAATACTTTTTACACAATAAAATCAAAATTCTTACATTGGCACCTGAGCACCTTCATTACCTGTTTTTTTTCTGTACCTTTCTCTCCATTTCCCCCCATTTCTCTCTCAAATTCAATCCCTCTACTCTATCCCCTATTTTGCAAGATTACTTTTGATTCTCTGCATAAACCAACCATCCAGGATCTCTAACTCCTAGGACTTGGTGTTACTCTCCTGCCCTCCTCTTGTTCTCTGGAGAAACGCCACCTCAAGAAACCTGGAAAAACCCCACTTCAAGATGCAGCTCAAATGTCTTTTCCTTTGGCAAGCATTCCTTGACTATGCCACTAGAGGGTACTTCCTCCCTGTCTATGCATGCACAGTCTCTCATAGGCCCCTCAATCTCCACCAATACACAATGGATTACAGATAGTATCTGCTTGTATTTGCCTCCCAATCCCCTAAATGAAGAATAGGGGCTCCCATCTCAGAGTCAGAAATCATGTCTGCATCATCTGTGATCCCAGCTCCCCTCCCCCAACACACACAATAGGCACCCATCACATGGGCATGGAATCAGAGCATACTGAAGTTTAACTCTTATTTTCCCATTGAAGGATTCCATAGTGGAAATCTACTACTCATCTTAGAACCCACTTGAGAGCTCAGCAGCAACACACATTCATTTATAGATCACCCTGAAACCAGTAAACATCACTAGAAAGGAAATATTAGAAAACCAAGGGAGAAAGTCAGCACCCAGACTCCTCCCTCCCTCAGTTATGCAAAGGACCGCTAAGGGTCTTGGAGCTTTGCTCCCAACCTGAGTTGATAGAACTTTCTGCAATGACAGAAATGTTCTGTATCTCCACTATCCAATATCCCAGTCACTTAGCCACATGTGGCTACTGAGCATCTGAAATATGGCTAGTGCAAATGAGGAACTGAATTATTAATTTTATTTCACTTTAATTAATTTTAATTTAAAATGCCACCTGAGGCTAGTGGCTACAATATTGGACAACACAGCTCTAGATTCTTCTTGGTAAGGAGCCTTCCTAGGAGATAAAAATTATTTTAACTAATTCAGCTGTTACTGGCCCCTGCCTTGCTCTTGGGGCTCAAAGGATTGGATATAGTGGGGTGGGGTGACTTAGGAAGTTCAAAGCTACAGACTGCCCTGCAAGGCCAGTGACCTCTGCCTACCTGTGGAGGGCCTGGGAAAATCCATCATTCTATAAGGAGTGCAGCCCACAGGCTGACTTTGTAGGCAGCCCCAGGCCGCACTGGTGGATTCCAGGCAAACAGGGAGGCTGGGCTCACTGGTCAGCTCTGCAAACTCTGACAATATTAGAGCTCACTGACTGCTATCCAAACACTCAATCAGGCCAGAGTTAAGAAGGAGATACAACTGGAAGGAAACAATGAATTAGAGGCTCAAGACAAGGGGTTAGGTCATCTACAAAATCAGATAGTTCTATTTAAGGGATAAAGCGTCAGCTGGGTTTAAAACTCTGTCATTTATAGATCACTCTGAAGCCAGTAAGCATAACTAAGAAGGAAATATTAAAAAAACAGAGAGAGAGTCAGCATCCAGGCTCCTCCCTCCCTCATCTGTGCAAAGGGCCCTTGGGAATCTTTGGAACTTTGTTCCCATCCTAAGTTTCAGCTTGTCTTCATGCAGGGGTGACAGAGGGAGATGCACCCCAGTCCTGTGTAGAAAAGTGTGGGAGCTAGTACTGCACCTTTGCCAGCTTTCATTGATTGGGGTACTGTTTCCTCCCTCTTTCTTCATGTTCTGGAATCCTATGACTTCCATTAGTTTAAACTGTCCAATAAAGATGAATTATTGAAATGTCTATTTAAATGTGATTAAGCATTATTGTTCATATGGATAAATTAATAAGCCAGAAAAGTTGTGTTAACAGATCATTTGTCCTGATTTTAGGGTGTAATAAATTTTTGGGTGCTCCCGGTCTCCAAAGTGAGTGAGTAGAAGACCTGCTCTAGAGAGGGAGGTTAACATCCTGACCAGCTGGAATGAGATTTTAAATCATAAAACAGTGAGGAGAACAGCTCAGTCTCTTAGTCCCATGCTCTTACCATCTCACTGCACCTCAGATACAGTGAAAGAGCTTACATTTTTTTTTTTTGAGATCAAATAGTTTTTGATCATATTTATTGATCATATTTATTGATCAAATAGTTGTTAACAACAATAAAATTCAGTATAGGGGGGTCAATGCTCAATGTACAATCATTAATCCATCTCAAGTCTAATTCTCGTCAGTCTCCAATCTTCTGAAGCATAACGAACAAGTTCTTACATGGTGAAAGAATTCTTACATAGTGAATAAATTCTTACATGGTGAACAGTACAAGGGCATTCATCACAGAAACTTTCGGTTTTGATCACGCATTATGACCTATAAACAATCAGGTCAAATATGAATATTCGTTTGATTTTTGTACTTGATTTATATGTTGATCCCACATTTCTCCTATTATTATTATTATTTTTATTTTTAATAAAATGCTGAAGTGGTAGGTAGATGCAAGATAAAGGTAGAAAACATAGTTTAGTGCTGTAAGAGGGCAAATGTAGATGATCAGATGATCAGGTGTGTGCCTATGGACTAAGTATTAATCCAGGCTAGACAAGGGCAGCAAGACATCCACGGATGCAGAAGATTTCTCTCAAAGCAGGGGGGGTGAGGTTCTGAGCCTCACCTCTGTTGATCCCCAAATTCTCACCTGATGGCCCCCCTGCGACTGTGCCTGTCTTAGGTTGTTCCTCCCTTGAGGAATCTTACCCGTCTCTGGCTAACCAGTCATCTTCCGGGGCCATACAGGGAAATGTAAAGTTGGTAAGTGAGAGAGAAGCCATATTGTTTGAAAAGGTTAGCTTTTTACTTCTTTGCAGATTTATGCCCTGTGGCTTCTATGCCCAGCACTTGTCTCGAGGTATCTTTACCACCTGGAGGAATTATGATACTCGGTAAATTTGATATGAGGCACGAATTCTATTTAAGGGTTGTAATTAGGAAGAAAGAAGAAAGAGCTTACATTTTATAGTTGGGCAGGCATAGGTTCAAATCCAGGCTCTGGATTCAAATCCCAAACCCTCAAGGGCAGGTATCTCTGAACTTCTGTTTTCTCATCTTTAAAACAGACCTAACAACACCTATAAGGCTGGAGGCTATGAAAAAGAAATGAGACAATAATATAAAACACTAAGCCTAGTACCTACCACTCAGTAGGTACCACACTGATTCCTTGGTCTTGTTCTTGGATTGTAAACTACACTCAGTGCCCCTCGCCTTGCAGGTGAAGTTTAGATTTTTGTTTTTCTTAGATATGTTATCTTACCTTAGTAATCTAGATGTGATAAAATAACAACTTAATACTTTAAGCTTGGCTGTATCATATCGTTTATTTCTCACAACTACCTTGTTGGAGAGATACTGTTATCCCATTTTATAAACCCAGAGCCTGAGGATCAGTGACTGAGCAAGGTCACAAAGCTAGTCAGTGACAAAGTGAGGACTCAAGCCCAGCCCTGTGAGGCTTTAATGCCCATCCTTTGAAACACCAGCGGGGGCGCCTGCGGGCATGACGATGGTTTGGTTGCTTGGGACTTTCTCCCCAGCCCGAAGACCTCACCTGTGTAGTTCTTCATCAGAGGGTGAGTACTTGGCGGTGACGTCAGCCAGCTCCCCAAAGATCTGCTTGTTGTAAACGGTGAGGGAAGACAACAGGATTAATTCCTGCCAGGTAGAGCTCAGGAGGCACGTGTAATCCTTGATTGAGAGCTCGCAGAAGAAAGGCAGTTTCTTGATCCAGGCAATCTGCCTAAAGAGCAGCTCGTCGGCCAGGCGGCAAAGCAGGGCAAACAGCTCTGCCTGGGTCACAGCATATCTAGGGTGCAGGGACAGGGGAAAGTCACTTCTAGTGGCAAGAGGGTGAAGATGGGAACACATGGAGAGTGTAAGCCCAAGGGTACGAAGGATCTCTGGCAGGGGGCTCTTTGCTCTTGACCATGGATCTCCAGCTCCATTCAATTCAGTCTACTGATAAAGGGGCAAGACTGGGGCCAGCAGCAAGCTCAGGGCCAGAGAGGCAGTTTTGTTTGGTGAGAAAAGGTTGCTGAGGGGAAAAGAGGCTCAGAAATTAATGCAGTTATCAGGGAGTATGACTTTTAATGTTGGTGTCTACAAATGTTCATACGTTAAGAGAAAATTCCCAGTCACTCCTGCACTAGTTTGGGCAACGAGAGCTCCTTTAGGGTGGATCTGCTGTCCACCCAGTGCAAGGAAACACAAAATGATCCGTGTGACCAGATGGCTAAAAGAGAACGAACATGTTCAGAAGCGTTTCCTACTCTCACTGCGCCCCCTGGTGGTGAGAGTTCAGGAACTAGAGTTGTTCCCCCCTTCTAAACTACTGCTGCATGGAAGGGGCCGGGCATTTCTCTTCTCTGGGCAGGATGAAATAAGGGTGCTAGTTTTCTTTCTCTCAGGTCACCCTGGTAAACACTTCCCCATGCCCCCATGCCCAGATTATAAATGTTTTGTGCAGCCGTCTTGTAGGTAGATATTTGAATATCCTCTTCTGACACTGAGACTAGCTTAAGAAATCTCAGGATACTTCTTCCGAGGATCTATGCTTGACAGCACTCAAAGAGCCCATGCCCCAGGCCAAAGGGATAACAGGTGCAGCAACGGGTGGGCCTAAAGGCAAACTGATCTACTCAAGTAGAGCCAAGACAGTGTATTGAAAGAGTCGTCCTTCTACCCCTTCAGGCCAGTACACAGAACATATGGCGCCAGGCTACCCCTGGGTATGCTGGCCAGGGACAGGCACAGGCTACAAGTTAGTGCCTAGAGCACCTTGTTAAAGAGCCTAGACTTGATGTGTAATTATCCCCAGAATTATAGCTCATCAGCTCTGGCACAGAAGTGCTCAGACCCATCCCAGGATCCAGCTTAACCAAGCCCAAGGAGAAACAAAGCACTTTAATCCCAAATCCATAGGGATAAAAAGCACTAACTCTATGAAAAGAGATAAGACAAAAAAACGAAGGATCACTCACTTCAAAGATTATAGATTTGTCCTCTGGTACTTGAGTCATAACTCATTATCCCTCCGACTCATTTTGAAGCCTCGGGTGTAGAAGCCAGTGGTGAGTGTGGGTGTGGGGTTGGGAACATCTTGAAGTTGCAAGGGCTAAATGGGGCAGGGCTTACTCACCCATCTTCAATCAACATGGGTGTACCCAGTGGCTCCAGGTCCTCCGCTGACACCAGCTGGTGAATCAGACTGTATGACTGGGGATCCAGGCTGCGAGCTTGTGGCGTCAGAAGTGGTGAGTGGGCAGAATAGCTAAAAAGGTGCGGTATGTATTGATAGTGTGGAGGCATAGATATCCCCATGTACTGCTCCCTGAATGCCATGAATCCATTTAGTTCCACAGACCTACAAGAGAGAAAAGTCTCTTATCAAGCAGAACCATGGCAGGTCTACTGCCTACCCCAAGGAATGAGCCAGAAGATGGCTCAAGTGTTCTTTGGCCACGCAGTCTATCTTCATCAAGTCAGGGACATAATAAATGGTTACAAGCATGTCTCCCCTACTGACAGGGACTCCGTGCAAGTGTGTGTACGGGTGGCTCACCCCTGGACACCCAGGGATGCTGAGTAAATACTGGCTGAATGAATTCTGTGTACGTGCCACGTTTGGAAAGTTTTGAATGGATACTCAAGAGACTATGATGCCAAAGGTGGGTGTCTGTGTTTTTCACAGCTGGGGAAACTAAGACACAGAAAGGCTAAGTCCCTGTGAAGCCACAAAACAAATCCAGCACATAGTAAGGAACCTAGCATGTGGCAACAATTCCTTTAAACATTCAAAAGAAAGAATAAACTAAGTAACTGAATAAATAAAAGTTATAATGAAATAATCAAGAGAAAAGCAGATTTATATCTTCCATCTTCCTCCCCTTTCTTAAAGAAATCTAACCATTCTGCCAACTAATTTAAAAGAAAAGAAAAATACTCTAGCTTTACCTAGAAGCACATCCTATGACAGGGGTTGACAAACTATGGCCCATGGCCTGTTTTGGTAAACGAAGCCATACTCACTCATTTACATATTTTCTTTGGCTGCTTTCACACTATAACAGCAGAATAGAGTAGCTGAGACCCAGACTATATGTATACGGCCTTCAAAGCCTAATATATTTACTATCTGGCTTTTATAAAAACAAGTTTGTCAATCCCTGTCCTCTAAAAAAGATTTCTGGTGAAAGGAGACCTTCACTGGTAGCTGATGCTGTATTTCATACCCAATAACTAAGTTAAGACACCATTCTTGAACCGGGAATCTTCAAATTGGTATTCTACGATAGCTGCAAATTTGAGTGGCTTAAGAAATTTTCACTGTTTCTTAAAATTCAGAAAGTGAAAATCTTCACTCTTTCTGAGGCAGAGAAATTATAACTTAATTTAACTTTGTCAGTGTGGCTTGTTTTATTCCAGTGATAAAGTAAATGAGAGAAAAAAGCTACATGTAAAATACTCAAGTTAGGTGAAGAATGTTTGTTGCTGACATTTTCATGGTCTTTAGCAAAAGATGGGTTACAAAATGCTTCTTTGCATCATCCTGGCCTCTGAGTAAGGGCGCAAAAGACTGAGGGCGCAAGAGTATAATGGCTGAGATAGACTGGCAATACTCAGCCTGGAGGTTCCTTGTAGGTCCGCTTTTTGAATGACTACTGGGTTTCCCTTGAAGCTCACCTGGAGGACAGTGTGGAGCCTGGTGAGGGCTGGTTGCTCTCTGAAGCCCTGTTCCCAGGGGAACTGTGGTCGCTGTCACCATGGTTGCTCCAGTGATTGGCCTCTTCCTCAAATTCCTGCCCAGACATAATCCTTTCGATCTCTTCCTCTGATATCTTTGACAAGGAATTGATATATGTTAGATTAGGTGCTAGGATATCCTCCTCTGTTCCTTTCTTAGGACTGAGAACTTATTTAAACCTCAGAGGGATTACCAGAATTTTTTAGAGAGAAACTCAGATTCTGTCCTCTGTATCCTCATACTCTAAGTCTCTCACCAATCTTAGGACAAGCTGATTGCTTGCCTCCCAACTCACCATGGCCTTCCTCTTGCCCATTTGCCCTTCTCTCAGGCCACAATGCTTCTAGGTTCTTCAGCACTCCTATTTGTCCTTCAGTCTTCCTACCCTTGAAACACCACTCTTCAATAACAAACTCTTACTTGCCCATTAAGACCCAATTCAAATGCCACCTTGTGAATCCTTCTCTCACTACATAGAGAGAATTTTAGGTTCTTCTATCCACTTAAAGATCTGTGTATTCTGAGAGGGGTAGGATAGCATATGGTTAGGAATATGAATTCTAGAGTCACCACCTTTGTTCTAATCCAGGTTCTGCCACTTTTAATTGTATAATCATGGGCAAGTCATTTAGCTATTTGAACCTAAGTTCCTTTACCTGTATGGTGGAGAGAATTAACAGATATCCATCCTATAAGATTATTGTGAGGATTCAATTAGTTAACATACTATCAAATATTTAGAAAAGGGTTTGGCATATAGCAACAATTATGGAAGGTAACAATGATATCTTCATCATCCTTGGTATTTTTATAGCACTTAAAACAATATATCATAAAAATGTCCTCTACAAGTCCTAAGGCTATGATGGCCTACAAAAAGTAAGTACTCAATAAATACATGTTGGTTAAATGAACAAATGTTTACCTATTAAGTGCTGTGATTTTCTTGGTAAGAAAGACATTCTTAAGCCTACTGAATAAATAAGAAGAAACTATACCTCAGGTAAGTTAACTGACTTGCTCAAGATTGCACTGTATGCCCTTGTCTGGGCAGGAATTTGAACAAGAGGCCAAAGTATCCCAGTATTCAGTCCAGGGCTCTAGCTATTCTACTATATAGGGAGTGAACACCAACTTCTTCCATAAAGCACCTAACCTAGAGTTGAGACCCAACTGGCTAAACTCAGCACACAGAATGAGAGCGAGTACTGAGGAAGGGTTGATGAATTTTTATTTCTTGTTCCTAAGGAAATCCTGGGGAGAAATCTTCTCCCAACTCTGTCTGACTCAAACCTACATAATTCTTTGCTCTAGCAGCATGTGAGGAAACCTTGAGCTGCTCTGATCATAAATATAGAAGGGATTTAGAAATGGAAACCAGTCAGCACACAGGACTTGGAGGAAAAAGAAGAAATATTAACTGGAGCACAAGTTGAGTGAATGGTCTTAAATAGTTTGGACTGTATATGTATTGGAGGGGTTGTCTTTCTTTACTTAGTCACATGTTGTAAAAAAACCAAATACTTTCTCTGACAAGTCTTTAAAACACTGAAATCATTGTTTACATTTTATAAGACATGTGAAAACAAGTGGTGCCATCAAACTACAAGACATCTGCTGAGGCCCTGATTGAAGCAGCCTCAGTGGTGGTGGTGAGGGTAAGTTCAGAGCTTGGATGTCATAGAAGTACCTGAGTTGGGTGAAAAGGGCAACTCCTGGTAAGTCAGCTTATTCTAGTTGTGAGCCAAAGTCAGACAGCACCTGTATCTCCCTGTGGGTGCATTGGAACACTGGGCATTCACTGATACACTGAACGAGATGGAACATGTTGGGAGTGCTTGAATCTGGGTTCAAATCTCATCTATCATTTCCTAGATGGGCATTTACTTTGGGCAAGCTACACAACCTCTTTGAGTCTTAAGCTCCTTCACCTGTAAAATGGAGATAATATCACTTCTCTCATAGCTCTGGGTTCCCTGACACAGAGTGCTAGAGCAAAGCAGTATGTGGATTTGAATCATATAGACTTGGGAAGTTAATATAAAGTTATGAAGTATAGGTGCTCAATAAATGCAAAGTCTACTACCCCTTATAAATAAATCACAATTAAGCACAGTTAAGAGAACTTGGAGATCACAGCTCTCTCTTCCTAATACACCACTTAGAAATGGTAAAAGATTAAAAGGAAAATTATACGTCCAGTACCAAAATGTCAAATGCAATGACAGATGACACAAGTTTCTCTTAGCATTTCCTCCCTCAATTCTGGAGAGAACATAGAACCTGGAGATGTCAATGACTTTAGAGCTCCTAGCATAATGGGAGAGCCACACAGGGTACTCAGAAAATATTAGGTAATAGTGAGAAAATTTTTTAATTGAGGAAATGCTTACAAATTCTTCCTAGTAGACAATCCTTTTACTGTTCCCAAATATAAAAAGAATCAATAAAAGTAATGGCCATATATGAATAGTTCACAGCTAACATCCCACTTAATGGTGAAAAATGGAACGCTCTTCTCTAAGATAAGCATCAAGGCAAGGATACCCACTCTTACTACTTCTATTCAACATAGCACTGGGGGTCTTGGCCAGAGCAATTGGGCAAGAAAAAGAAATAAAAGGCATCTAAATTAGAAAGGAAGAAGTAAAATTATCTCTGTTCACTGATGACATTATCTTCTATGTAGCAAATCCTGAAGATTCCACCAAAAGCTGTTAGAAAACGATCTCATTTACAATAGTATCAAAAAGAATGAATACTTAGGAATAAATTTAACCAAGGAGGTGAAAAAGCTGTACACTGCCAAAAGAAAACTAAACATTGTTGAAAGAAATTAAAGACCTAAATAGATGGGAAAACATCCATGTTCATAGATTAAAAGACTTAATATTGTTAAAATGTCAATACTACCTAAAATAATCTATAGATTGAATGCAATCCCTATCAAAATTCCAACAGTATTTTTTGCAGAAATAGAAAAAAAACACCCGAACTCATATGTAACTATAAGAAACCCCAAACAGCCAAAACAATCCTGAGAAACAACAATAAAACTAGAGGCCTTACACATACATCCTGATTTCAAAACATATTATAAAGTTACAGTAATAAAAACAGCATGATACTGGTATAAGGACAGATATGTAGACCAGTGGAACAGAATAGAAAGCCAAAAAATAAACTCATGCATATATGGTCAAAAGATCTTTGAAGAAGGTGCCAAGACTACAAAATGGGCAAGAAAAAGTCTCTTCAACAAGTGATATTGGGAAAACTTCACATCCATATGCAAAAGAATGAAATTAGACTCATACCATACACAAAAACCAAGTCAAAATGCACTGAAGACTTAAATGTAAGCCTGAAACTATAAAAGTCTTAAAAGAAAACAGAAAAGTCTTCTTGGCATTGGCTTTGCAATAATTTCTTGAATATGATACCAAAAGTACAGGCAACAAAAGCAGAAATAGACAAATGAGGTTATATAAAACTAAAAAAATTTCCACAAAGCAAACAAGCAGCAAAGTGCATAGACAACCTACAGAATGAGATACAGCATACACCCAGCACCCCAACTGAATATATGCACCAAACTCATGATAGGAAATTACCCCTTTATACCATTAGCTTGTCTCAAAACAACTCTGAATTCCTGTCTTTCTCTTATTCACTTACCATCAATTGGATAACTCCTATCAATTTTACCTATTAAGTATCTCTTGAATCTATTCCCTTCCTTCAACTTGCACTATAATTGCCTGGACTTATGTAAAAACCTTTTAACTACTTTTTCTCTGCCCCTAGTTTCACTGACTTTTACCCAGATCCTCACAAACCATTTCCACAGCTAGAGTGATATTTCTAGACTGCAAATCTGACTGTGTCCCTCTCTGTACTTAAAACCTTTTAGTCGTTGCCTCTTGGTCCACACCAATAATTCTTGAGGCATGGTCCCTGCCCACTAGTGCGCTGAGTCATAAACTTGATGAGTTATAAACAGATCCAATTCTCTATCCTCATAAAGTCCCTCTGCAGACAAGTAAGAATAAGTAGTGTAGGTTGGACCCAGAAAGGCTCTACTTAAGGAGAGATAATCAAAGACAGTTGAAGGTCACTCTATACAGAACTGGCTCCAAACTCAAGGAATCTGCCTTATCTTCTGCTACTCTACTACAGATGCCCAGTCATCCAGCCTGAAGAATGAACTTCTTTCCTTAAAAAAAAAAAATAATAATAATAATAATAATTCATCTTCTGGTCTTTTTACAGTCTGTTCTAACAGGAATGAAAGATGTTTGGCTCCCCACACCTTCCAACATAGCTAATTCCTCCTTTTCCTCCAAAACTTAGTTCAAACTTTACCTTCTCTAGGAAGCCTTCCCTGAGTGTCTTCAGTCCTCAATCATGGCTCCAATCAAAACAGAAAGGAAGGCCCTCCCTTCTATACTGGCTGGACATCCTCTGTTATCACTCACTGTTACTCTGATGTTTGTTTATATATTTGTCTCTCCCACTAGATTGAGTTCACAGTACAGGGGCCTGGCATAGAGTAAGTATTTAGTAAATATCTGTGGAACTGAATGTGTATTATCATTCCTATTCTACAAATAAGGCAATGAACTTTCTGCTGATACAGCTTTAAAAACATTGAATAGCAAAGTAATCTTGCTAATTTTTGCCAGGCTGTTATTTAAAACCTTAAGTGATTGACAAACAATCCTCTAGATGGTTTGTAGCTAGAATTGGGTTCACGTCCTATGAAACCCCTAGGAAGGGTTGAGGGATCACAAGAAGAGCTTTAATCATCATCTTATGTATTTAAGATTTTCAAAGAACTTTCACGCCTGGGCTCTAAAAGCAGTTTTACAGGAACAAGGCGAAGATGGCTCTCCCTAGCAGCAGATAGCAGCTCAAGACAAGCAGCTACAGGAGTACCAGGAGTGCTGGCTTTGGATCCCAAGGAGTGAGTCCCAGAACTCACCTGGACGGGCCCAATGCTCTTGTTTCGGCCTCCAGGCATGCCATCTTCTCTGATTGCTGGGAGGAAACAGAAGTCAAGACAGTCAGAGCATGCCCACAGAAATCTAGACATAAAAAGAGAATTTATTTGGCCAAAAGCACAAGGTAGGAATTGATGATCACTACCATTAATTGGCAGTTAAGCAAAGATTAAAACACAGGTTCAGGACCCAAAGCACACACTTTTTCCATTAATCCAGGTCACCTCTTAGGCAACAGATACTTTTGGGTCCCCAAGGCACTGGGTATACACTAATACACTACACACATTCAAAGGTGATAGCATTATTAATAGTCCCACAGTTACAAGTATCCCACCAAAGGCAGGGACAGAAACAATCTTTCTATTTTTAAATAAAGTATTTTTTATGCCCGGTTTAAGTGTGAGTTTAGTTTGTAGGATGAGAACAGGTTCTTTTTTTTTTTAATCAGAATTTTGCCCTCACTGGTTCCTCCCTACAAAGGCCATCAGTAGAGTTCCCTACCTGTTGATTTCCCACTCAAGAGATTCAACAAAAGGAAGACGTTATTTAGTATTTTCTAACTATGAAAAACATCCTTTAAATAGTTATCAGCCTCATTAAGAATAACGACTATTAATACTATTACCATCACTGTTTGTGAGCACGTAATATGGAAGCACAGAGAAGGAACCCCTGACCTGCAATTACTGAAAGGCTCTGGCGTCTGCCAAAGTTTTCTGGAAAGGACAACTTCTGAACTAAGTCTTAAAGGATGAATAAGATATACACAGGCAGGAAAAAGGTGCTCCAGGTTGAGTGAACAGTGCAGAGAAAAGCTTCAAGTTGAAAGTAAGCATGGAGTGCTGTTTCTGGGAATTTACAAGTAGTTCAAACTGGGCAAAACGTGTGTGTGCGTGCGTGCGTGCATGTGTAGGCTGGAAAGGCCAACTGGGGCCAGATCACAGAGAGCTTTGGATTGCAGGCTAAGGGTATGGACTTTAGCAGAGGAGCTTAAGGATAAGGTGGAATGCAGGGAAGGGATGTGGTCACGTTGATATTTTTGAGAACTCTTTGTGATGGCCACTGTGGACACTGGCCTGGAAAGAGTAGTGTTAACAGAGGATAAGCTAACAGAATCATGAGAGAGCAAGCTTTAGTATAATAAACCTGCTTCAATAAAAAAAAAATCAAGAAAATCTACAAAGTTCTTAGGGTAGACTGGTTGCCTCAAAAGATGAGGGCTCCAAGCATAACAGTCAGTTCCTGTGGTAAATGAAAGGCAGACAGGAAGTTCATTTTCTGTAAAGTAGACACCATTCTTAGTATTGTTAGAAGATGACATACTCCAGAATTAGACAAGCTTGGGTCTAAATCCTGTTTCTGCTTAGTCTGTGCAATGGCAGATAAGTTTCTTCACTTCTTTTGAACACCATTTTTCTGAAAAATAGAGAGGGACTACTGGAACCTCTTTTGTGGGGTATCTTGAAGATTATATATAAAATAATACAGCTAAAGCAACAAGCAAAGGAACTGGCATATAAAGTAGGTACTTGGTAACTAATCCTTCTCTCTCCCGAGTCTCTTTTGTCCAAATATAAGTTAAAAAAAACCAAGATTCCATTTTCAGCTTTGTGAGAGCCTTAGTATCTTCATCTGTGAAATGGAGGCAACACAGTCTGCTTTAAGGCTGCTGTGAATTTGGAGTGAGAAACATACTTAGCTTATGTTAGAGCCAGATGCATGCTGGTTATTGTCTGGGAGCTCTCTTTCAATCTAATTTCAGGTTCTAAAAATCCTTAAAATTCCTTCCCTGCCATTCCAGGGTCAATGAGTCTTCTATTTCCAAAACTGACATTTCCCGTGTATTTATTTTGGCTCACAGGTACAGAACAAAGATCTATTACTAACAGATAAACACTGAATATATTTTACTTTATATCTCTCTCAGTGTCTTAGAGGTGAGGAGGGAACTCAACATGCTTTCTTTTTTGTTTAAAGCACCACAAATCTTAAAGATTTACATCTTGCCAATTTCTTCTTCTGACATTTAAAAGCTCACGTTGCCCCTCAACCCCACCTGGAGTAAGGAAACTCATATGATGGACATTTACTATGTGTTAAGTACTCTCTTGGGTAGCATCATTCCCACTGAACAGATAGAAACCCAAGACTCAGAGAAACAAAGTATTTTGGTTAAGGTGACAGAAACTGAAGAGGAGAGTCAGGGTTGGAAGCCAGGCTATCAGATTAAGATCAGCCTTCTTTCCAGTACTAGTATTTCCCATAGTGTGTGTACATCCTATTAGAGGAACACAATTTTAGATGGTGAATAAACAAACTCTTAATTACACATTTATCCTAACATACTTTAAAAAATACTGACTTTTCCATTCAGAGGGAATAAAAATTCCCTTTGAAAATTAACTTCATTTTTTAAAGTTGATTAAAGACTATAAAGTAAACTATAGTACTTATTTAGTCAGAGATGGTAAAATCTGTCAGATGGCATGAAATTGCCTGAAGTCTGGGAAATACAGTGCCACAGTGCATTTGTTAAAACAAAAACTTTGATATTTTCAAGCTTATAATGCAGTCACATATATGTTATTGCATTTGATCCTCATAACAACTTTGGAAGGTGTACATTATCATTATCCTATGCAGTTTAGAGATGAAGAACCTGAAGCTCCTAGAAGTAAAGGGACTTGTTCAAAGTTACTCAGGGAAGAACTGACAAAGCTGAGATTTCAATTTAGGTCATCCAGTTCTACAGCTGTGCTTGTTCCTTGATGCTACATTGAGCTAAGAGCAAGTTATTTTTTAGCAGAGGTGAGAGTCTTTCTAGTAGTGAACTGATTAAAACAAAATAAAACAAACACAAGGGCCTTCTGGATTCATGATCAGGAATGGTTCTGCTGCATCTCTCGCCCAACACTAAGAAATTGGCACAGGCTATGGTTCTTCTATTTGCTCAGAGGCAGCACAAATACTTTCTCTGCCCTAGACTTCATGTACCTACCATCTCTTGCTTAGGCCTGGGTACCAACCAAACCCCCAAACCGGAAAGGTGGGTAAGATACAAAGCTAACTACATCAAAACCCTGCTCAAAACCCATTGGTGGCTCCCTTTGGTCCTATGGGCTAAGTCCAAGCTCCTTTGCTTGGCATTCAAGATCCTGTGGTCTGGTTCCTCTGGGGTTCTTCATCCTCACCTCTTGCCACAAATACTGTACTTAGAACTATTTGTTAGTCCTTGAACATGCCATGCTGTTTGACACATTTACACAGAGTTCTGCCTCTGCCCGTATTATTGCCTCTGCTTAGACAGAAACTTTACAGTAAAAAAATCTGGCAGCACCACTTAACTCAAGTGATACCACCTTAACCAAGTGATTCAAGTTAACATAACCAACAAGGGATGCACTAAAAGGACATCACTTTAGTGGCATTCTTGCCAAAAATACATAACCTGAATCTGTGAAAAAAATGACAAACCCAAGTGTTGAGGAATATTCTATAAAATAAATGACTTGATTTCTTCAAAATTGACAGTAACTAAAGACCAAAAAAAAGGTCAAGGAACTATTTCACTTTAAAGAGATTGAAGAGACCTAAAAACTAAATGTAATGTGGGGTCTTGGACTGGCTTCTAGATTAGAAGAAGCAAACTGCTATAAGGGACACAGGCATAATTGGTGAAATTTGAATAAGGTCTACTAATTAGGTAATAGTATTATGTCATGTTAAATTTCCTGGTTTTGATAATAGTACTGTGGTTATGTTAGAAATGAAAAGAAATGATGTCTGTAAATCACTCCTAGAAGAGTTCAGAAAATATATACACATACCGACACACAACACGGGTAAGGAGAGAATTAAAGAAAGGGGAGGGATGAGGGGAAGGGGTTTTTAAAAAGCACTTCAAGTTTCTAAGGAGCTTGAACTTCTATTCTTTCAAGAATCTGTTCAAATGTTACCTCTCCTTGAGATTTCTCAGTGCTCCGTTTTTATCCTGATAAAGGAATACGGCAAAGCCGCTGGATCACTATCTCACAATGCCATTCTACGAACACCAACCTCTTCCAAGAGCTTTCCTTAAAGTTTTTACCTATGACCTACTTAACTAGCAAGTTATGAGACAACAAAGTTAAGGGAATTTTAATGTTTTTCATGTAATTATTTAATTGAATTTCCCCATAAGGCTCAGTGTAGCTTCCTCACCTTTGATGATTTTAACAGTATTTCCTCTATTCAACTTCCTGACCTGCCCCTCCACCCGACCCACCGGCAATAGTCAAATCTATCAAATCAGGAAGCATCTTACCTAACTGGGTAATTAATGAGCGACACAGACAAAAGTAGGCCTCAGTCATGGCCCTTGAGGAGCTCATTGTCTAGTAATGGGGGAAACAACAAGTAAAGAGCACAAGGTGATCAGGCTATGGCAGAGGGCACAAAAAGGGCTGTGGAAGCACAGGGGAGTCATCTGGTGGGGTTGGTGTCAGAGAAGGCTTCTTAGATGATTTATAAATAAAAAGCTGAGCCTTAAAACAAAAGTATATACAGTTAGGTGAAGAGCAGGGGGTAGAACATTTGGAAGATGAAACCACACATGCAAAGCTCCCAAAACATGAAACATCACTCCATTTTTGGAGAACAGGAATGGAATGCAGACAGTGTATGAGCAGCAGCAGAGGGAGAAGGGAAGAGATGAAGTGGGTGATGCCAGAGTCAGAGGGGCCTTGAAAATCATTCTGAGCTGCCCTACTTCATTCTGAAGACTGAAAAATAGGTGAGGAGTATGTGTTTGGGGGTTACTGGGGCAGTAGTGAGGATGGACAGAATGGGCCCAGCCTCTACTAATCACCCTTATTTAAATCTCCCCCACTGCCTTGTGAATTAATTTCCTGACTAGCCAACTTCCATGTCTGAAAAGATATGTATGTCCAGAGATTTGGGACCACAGAGGGATGTATTATATATGGCAGCTTTGTTTTTGGTTTTTTTTAACAGTTAGGCTTTAAAAATTTGAGCTAAGTTTAGATTAACCAAAGAGTTGCAAAAATAGTACAGAGAATTCCCTATTCTGTACACCCAGCTTTCCCCTTCTGTTACCATCTTACATAATCACAGACTATTCATCAAAACTAAGAAATTCACTTTGGTACAATACTGTTAACTAAAATACAGACTATTCAGATTTCTCCAGTTTCACTGATGTCCTTTTTCTGTTCCAGAATCCAATCCAGGATCCCACAATGCATGTAGCTGTCATGTCTCCATAGCCTAATCTGTGAGTTTCTTAGTTCCTTATCTTCTGTGCCCTTGACAATTTTGGAGAGTATTTTGCAGAACATCAGTTATTTTGAAGAGGGTCTCTAATTCAGATAATTAGATTGGGAATCTATCTCTGTGTATATATATCTGCACAAGTATAGCCTTCTTAGTATATCATGTTAGAGGGTACCTGAGGTCAATGTAAACATACTGGTAATGTTAACCTTGATTGCTTGGCTAACACGTTTTCTGTCAGAATTTTCTACCAAAACTCAATCTCTCTCTTTGTAATTACTAAATAGTTGAGACTGCAAATATTTCTGTTTCTGTTTAAAACTATGCTCTCATTTTAGCATCCATCAGTGGATCTTGCCTGCAGCAACTGTTACTGTGGTGTCTTAATGGTGATTTTCTATTTCTCTTACTCCTTCTACATTTATTGATCAGAATTCTTCTACAAGAAGAAATGTGACTCCTCTATTCATTCAATAGTGCTATCAGTATGAACCTATGGCTATATTATTCTTTGGGTTATAAACTAACAGTACTCTCTTATTGCTCATGTTGTTCCAATTTGGGCCACTGGGAAGCTCTTTCAGGGAAGTTTTTCTGTGACCTTTTGATGTGTTTCCTCTCTCTGCCCCACACCACTCCTTTTAAAAAATATAGTGTATCCTAACTTTCCAGCACAAGATGCTCCAGGTCCCTGCCTCGGTCCTAGAATCAATCAGTTCTCCAAGAAGTCCTAAATCCTTTTATTGATACTGAGAAACCAAGATCGAGGCACTAGGTGTGCTCATTCTATTGGAGTGTCACTGCTCCTAGGACCTCTCAATGGCTTGAGCTAGAAAATACATGTATGTATACCAAATCACGTATCTACACACCTATCTATATTTTTTATCTATCTAAACATGAGTCCATATTGATACCTCTGATTCTAATCTAGCTCCAGAGTTTCATTCTAGTCCTCCCCTTCCTGATTTTAACTTCTCTGATGTGAGAAACATCTCATTATCTATAATATATTTCCTTGTTTGTTCAATCCTAGTATACAAATAAAGTAGTGACAGAATTCCTAACCCACAACCTTGAGATAAACAAATTTACAACTAGAGTGCTTTGTTTGTATACAGTTCTTTTTATCTTCAGCCTTACAATATACAGCAAAAACACTGTTTTCCAAGGTCAGTTCTTTTCTCTCCCCTTCCTTTCAGTGCCTATGCAATTTATTTGTTTGATTTATTTATCACAGTCTGCATTCTATCTTTTCCCCCTGCATACTGGCTACTTAAAAAAAAAACTTACATACAGTAAAATTCCCCTTTGTTGTGATGTATAACTCTATAGATTTTTGACAAATGCATAAAATTATGTATTGAACACCACAGTTCTGTACCGAACAATTCCATCATCCCCAAAATATTCCAATGGCCACTGCAATTTTAATTCTGCTTTCCCAGCACCAACCAGGAGATGGCAGGGTTTCTCTCTGAGAGGTAACCTTCACAAGGCAACTGGACTGGCCTGTTGTGCATACAAATGGACCTGGGAAGGCAGCTCTCCATTCTTCACACCCCATATGTCACCTTCTCCTGCTATGGTTAGATGAGGGGTTATGAGGTTAAGCTTTTTCTTCTCTTAAATAGATGAGTTTGGCTAGAAGTTCCAGAATCTCACATGTCCACTGAATAAGCAGGATGATTTACCAGAGAGAGTAGTCAGTCTAGAAGGCAACCCATAAATATGCTTTGATAAAATATTCATGATGAGGCAATAAAGGGAGATGAGAAAACTAGAGACCAAAACCAAATCAGGTGAGATGGGTAGATGATCACAAACTCTCTCTTCAAGATATTACTTGTTTAGTATTGGCTGGGGAAGATTTCTGTAAGAGGAAACTGACAGTGGGGAGGGAGGGGACTTCTAGGTAGAGGAAACAACCCGAGTCAGGCAGGAGTGCAAGGCATGTTTGACACACAGTAAGTTCTGGAGAAGATGAGGTTAGAAACATAGGCAGGGGACAAAGTTGGTAACAAAGTTTAAATGCACTATGATAGGTGTTTATCATCGAAGAAACACAGGGCATTTCAACATTCAAATAGCTACGCCATATGGTAGACATGTAAAGAAGCATGTTGTCCATGTGGTTAGGTACAAGCTACTTTTGATTAGTAACAGATTATAATTTAGTAATTATTAACTGTCAATATAACAACCATGAAACTAACTACTAGTAAGCCACTTTACCTCCCTAAGCTGCATCTGTAAAGGTTAATAGTTAATAATAGTGTCATTATGTATATCCAGTGACATAAAATGTGTAGAAAAGAGTAAGAGTTTCTGATACATATAGTACAGTATTAGAATTCTAAATAAATTATAAATGATCTAAATTTATCTACATGTCCTTCTATACCTCTCTTACCTTTCTTCATAATGGCCAAGTTTTCAAAAGATTCTTTTTATCCACACAAAATTTTTTTTTTAAGTCTGAAGTGTATCTGGATATCTGCATTCACTAATGTTACAAACAATAGCAAAGTTCACTACATCTGACTACTCTTCGCCTCTGAACACTACTACTAAAACCCCTAATACCTTCCTGGGTATTTTATATACCCTGTCATATTTAATCCTGTAGAGAACTCTAAAATACAAGCATTGTCATATCAGTTTAAAGGTAAGATATTTTAAAAGGTTTAAGAGCTTCAGAGACATAAAGGTCACAGAGCTAGCCTGTCACTAGCCTCTGATTCTTTCTACTGAACTATACTGCGCTACTCTCCAACATCCATGAGAATACTCCGAGAGTTCTGGCTTCAGCCTTCTTCTTTTCTGTATCCAAGTTCTTTTTTTTGGGTGATTTCTACCCACTAATAAAACTTTACCACCTCTATGCCAACAGTTCCACAAACTTATGTTTGCAGCAATTTCCTCTGTTTCAATCCTACATACCCAACTTCCTTGGTGGACATCTATGTGTGTACTTAGGTACCTCAAACTCAGCATTGCCAAGGCCAACAGTTTGCCCAACCTTGCTTTTTAGACTGACTTTTTTTCCTGGTAAGGTCACCATTAATCCAAATTTTCATAAGGCCAACAGTTTGCCCAACCTTGCTTTTTAGACTGACTTTTTTTCCTGGTAAGGTCACCATTAATCCAAATTTTCAACTTCAACTTCTAGTGCTGCCCAATACCCAGTTCGCAATAAATCCTATCAGGTAAGCCTCTCCCGTATATCCCCACCCATGACATTACTTTCCTCACCATCCTTCAGATCCTTCGTTTCTCCTGGATCTGAAATAATTTCTTGTGGACTCTTCTAAAAACTTTCTAGGTAGCTTTTCTGTTGCCCCAGCCCAATCCATTCTTCAAAGCTATTCTCCAGATTAATCCTCTTAGAATATCAGTTTATTCATGTCATCTCAGGCTAATGGCTCTTGGGAAGTTTTACAATAATCCCCAAATTCTTCTCCAAGCTGGATGCAGATTTCCGGGCATGCCTAGGCTCTGAGTACGATTTTAGCAAACAAAATGGTATCATATTCAGGGAACCTACTACCTTCTTGCCTTTTCATCTAAAATTCCTACTTCCTGTCATCATGCCCTGAAAGAGCTAGTGAAGGATATTAATCCCAGTTAGAACTTGACTGTTAACTGGGGTCTTGGCACACAGAGTCTGTGCATTCACTCTCACAGAATGCCTAATATCTCACCAGTCTTTCTCTCCCTTTCTAGTCTGGGAGAGAGATCTGTAGGCAGGAACTGTGCCAGATCCCTTTTGGGTTATGAGCACCCAGTACGAGGCCTGGCATATAGTGCAGGCTTGGGAAATGAATAATACAAGGCTTAATAATAGCTGATGCTAACGGTAAAGCAATGGGTGAAGGGTGGATAGCAGAGCCACAAGCACCACTCACCCTTCCGGTTCATCCCCATCTGGAGGCATTTGAGCAGGCGGCAATACTGGCACCTGTTTCTCTGCTTCCGAGACATGACACAGTTCTTGTCACGACTGCACCGATACACCCGCTTGTTGCAAATGCTCCGCTTGAAAAACCCTTTGCAGCCTTCACAAGAGATGATTCCATAGTGCAAGCCTGTGGCACGATCCCCACAAATGAGACAGGTTCGTTGTTCAGCCCGATCATCTGGAACAGAAACTGAACAAATTCAAGTTAGAATACAGTGGAAATAATGGTTTAAAGCCGGCAGTTCTAGAAAAAGCAACCTTGCTCTGGGTAGATCAAGGAGTGAATAAAGTCCCTGATGAAATTTACATTCTAGCAGAACATCTATTCCATGTATAGGTCCTGTGCTCAGTACTAGGTATTCAGAAATAAACTATCATGATTCCCACAGTCAAGGAACTCACTGCCTAGCAACAAACAAGTCAGTCAAAGAAATAAATTCAGGCCAGAACATAGCTTTCTACTTTTTCCCTCAAATTCCACTTACTCAAGACAAGCAACTGCCAAAAAACACGCATATTTAAACCTGTTTCTGACACTTGCCAGCTAGTGAATTTGGGCCAATTTAGTTACTTCACCTCTCTGCCTAGTTTCTCTCATTTGTAAAGTGGGGGTTATAATGGTACCTACATACCAGGATAAAGTACTTAACACAGTGCTTGGGTTACAATAGACATTTAATAAATGACAGCTAGTATTTTCATTATCATTATTTTTATCCTAACAGGTCCACACTTAATGTGATAATGACATCCCTGAAAAGAAAACCATTTGAAGGCTGTCTTAAAGGAGGGACATCATGGGACATATAGGCGAGATGTACGGAGGAAGGTGTAGCATTTAACAGACACTTTGAGATACGTCATTATGATCCCAATTTATGTTAGGCTGGATAATGGCCACCCAAAGATATCATGTCCAAATCCCTGGAATTTGTAAGGAAACAGGGTGTTGCAGATGTAATCAAATTAAGGATCTTGAGTTAGGCAGATTATTCTGGATTTTAAGGGTGGTCCCTACTTGTAATTACACATATCTTTATAAGGAAGAGGCAGAGGGAGATTTGACACAGAATAGAACACATACATGCGTGCGCACACACATACACAGAGGAGAGCACAATGTGAAGACTAAGGCAGAAGTTGGCCATAAGCCAAGGAATACAAGCAGCTACTATAAGCTGGAAGAAGCAAGGAATGGACACTCCCCTAGAGCCTCTGGAGAAAGTATGGCTCTGTCAACACATTCATTTCAGCCAAGTGATAGTGATTTTGGACTTCTGGGTTCCAGAACTGTGAAAGAATAAATTTCTGTTGTTTTAAGCCATCCAGTTTGTGGTAATTTTTAACAGCAGCACAGGAAACCAAGACATAAATTTTTTCCCTGCAGGGAAGCAGAGACATTAAGGCTCCTGCTCAAAGTCACACAGCAAATAGGTATATAAAGAGAAGCAGATATATGAAACCCCACAGCCATGGAAATAGAAAAAGACAAGGTATGAAAGGAGGAATTGCCTAGGTTGTTGAGGACAGTTCCTAGTTACAGACCTTTCTACAGCTTGGATATACTTCCCAATTGTAGGCAAATTGACATTCCCATGTTCTTATAATACTTTTTTTCCTTTTTTCTTTCTTAAGTTAACTTAAAGGAGTTTCTGTTATCTGCAACTAAAAGAAACTTGGCTAAGATTCCCTTTTTATAAAAATGGCCCTGGTATAATAAGTATTCATTTTCTTTTTTCTTTTAAAAACCAAAAGGAAGCTCAAGGTAAAGATTAGAGCAAAGTTACAATAGCAAATTAAAATGCTAAACCAGGAAGGGTGAAACAGGCAAAAGGTTAACAATAGCACTCACTATGTTTGGGATGGGATTTCCTAAGTGCTGGGCCTGAGCTGCCAAAAGGGCTTAGAAATAGAGCAGGAACACTGTTGAGAAATCACGATTGGCTACAGAAGAATCTAAATTTTCTAATTTTAAATTAAAACTTTCAATATTCTATTATATATGTGTGTGTGTGTGTGTGTGTGTGTGTGTGTGTATACACATTAAAAATAAACCAGAACTCTACCAGAATAGACTTAGAAATACTTATAAACAAAGAGGCTAGATTCCCTTTGAGTTCTATTACTGCTCTCTGTCTGGCCCCAGCTATTCTTATTGCTATGCCCTGTTTCTATAAACAGCATTGGTCTATGCTGCAGACCAGAAACTAATTCAGAAGGAAGTTTCTCAGAGGTACAAGAGAAAAGCCCTCTCCTGATCAACTATATTATAAACCTTCAAAGAAGCATTTGGCAAACTTCTCTCACAGCATGTTGAAAAAGATCATAATAGGAAATTAATGTTAACTGAGCATTGGGTGCCAGGCTCTGTACCAAGCATTCAACATATATAACTGTGCTGAATCATCACAACAAACCTAAATGAAGTACCCCCCAACCACACTTTTTTTTTTTTTTTTTAGAAATGAGGAAACTTAAGCTCATGAGGTGACTTTCAGCAGTCACCTACCTAGTAATAAAGGGAACTAGGGCTGGACACCCCCCCCACCAGTCTATGAACCCAATCACATTCAGTACCACATCAGGACAAGTCTATAAATCTATCCATTCTATACACAGGTAAATCAGGCCCATCTCCACTTGAAGAGCAAGCAAACAAGCTAAAAAGTCAATCCCTTTATAAAGGAACAAATTGAAGAGAACGCCCCTAATGGTGCCCAGTCAGATGTCAGATAGAGATTTCTGCAACTCCTATTCTTGTAAAGGACTTGTAGAGTATTTATAGCATGTTTACATTCATCATCTCACTTGCACCAGACCAGGGCAAGGATTATTCTTACCTTCTAGATATGGAAAAAACACTAAGTAAGTACCCATTGTGTACCACGCAATGGTCAGTAAGTTTTTACACATACTGTCTTACTTATTCAACACAGTAACTGTAAAAGGCATCATTATCCCCATTTTATAGAACCTGGAATCTTTGAGTTAGAAAGTACCTTAGAAATTGCCTTGAATAGGCCTTTACCTAGGCATGAATTTCCTCTACAATATTCCAAGACAAGGAGTTGCCCCATACTCTACTTGCACATCTCTAATGACTCGCTAAGGTACTTCATTTCATGCATTCCATTCTAGACAATTTTAGTGGTTCAAAGCTTTTCTTTACCCTAAGCCAAAGTCTGTTAACCTGAAGCTTTTCCCATTGCTGAGTTATGTGCTCATGGGCAAAAAATAAATATACAACCTAACCTAGTTCATACACCAAACATTCATAGATTTAAAGATAAATGAGGTTTTCAACTATGAATTTCTCCTCAAATTTTTATTTTCAATGAATCATATAGTATCAGAATTTCTCTTAAAGCAAAGTATCCAGAACAGAATTGTTTGTTTTTCTTAATATAATTTAAGACTCCATTAGTTTTGCTTGTTAAGATTATTCATCTATCAACACCAGTAAACACACAGTATTTTATAATTACTGATGCTATAAAAATGTTACATATTTTATAATGGGAAAACTGAAGCTTAAAGTGGTAAAGAATTCTAACTTCCAATTCTAACACTACTATTATTTCCAATCTCCCCCACACTTAATTCATATCTGGTTCACAGACAACTAACATGTGAAGTATTTATCACATATATCATTACCCATGTCTTTCTTAATCTTTCTTGGGAAGGTGAATGTTGAACCAAAAGTAGAACTTTACATTTGTCCTTCATCAATTTTTTAAAATTTTTTATTAAGGTATGATTGATATACACTCTTATGAAGGTTTCACATGAAAAACAATGCGGTTACTACATTTATCCATATTATCAAGTCCCCACCCATACCCCAAAGCAGTCACCGTCCATCAGTGCAGCAAGTTGCCAGAGATCCACTATGTCCCTTCTCTGTGATACACTCTTCTCCCTCTGACCCCCCACACCATGTGTACTAAACACAATACGCCTCAGTCCCCTTCTTCCTCTCTCCCCACCCGCCCTCCCACACCCCTCCCCTTTGGTAACCACTAGTTCATTCCTGGAGTCTCTGAGTCTGCTGCCATTTTGTTCCTTCAGTTTTGCCTCATGGTTATACTCCACAAATGAGGGAAATCATTTGGCATTTGTCTTTCTCTGCCTGGCTTATTTCACTGAGCATAATATCCTCCAGCTCCATCCATGTTGTTGCAAATTGTCCTTCATCAATTTTATCTTTAATATGATAAGTTTTATACACAATTCTACTGAAATCTTTGGGAAACTGGTCCTGCCATCCAGCCTATTATTTGTGGCTCCCACCTCCTGCTTTTCTCCATGTATGATCAATATTAGATTATTTTCATTGCTATCCTTAAAACAGTATTTTTTTAAATGTGGCCTTCAGGCAAGCTGATGGAGCCCCTTCTCCAATCTAACTTAACTATAAGCAACTGGAAATAGTTGTTGAACTAGTTTTGTCTTTTAAATTTGGCCAGGCACTCTAGTGTAGCTTATATTTCTCCATCTTACACATAAGGATATCACAAATGACCGTACCTCACTGAAGTTTCAGATTCATTATGTCTACAGCATTCTATGACTAGTGAGCTTAACAAAAAGGAAATGTTCATAACCATTCCTAATTCAGTGCTCTTAATCTACTAATTCAATAATCTTAATCTGTATTATTCTACCTAAAATATAATGGGAAGAAAATCAGGCACATAAGCACTTCAAAGTAGAGGATATGGGTCATAGTAATTGTAGTGCTCATAAGTCAGTATGATAAGAGACAGAGGAGTTGATGAAAAACTAATGGTTTGAAAAATGATACGTATTTGACCTGAACAAGTCAGTTTGCTATCTACAAAAATAGCATAGGTAAAAATGGGTAAAAAGTAGTTTAGGAAAAGACTCTCAATCACTTATCAGAGAAATCAAATGTTTGTCTTGATCAGCAGTACTACAAGAGCTCAGGTTGTGAACTTTAAAAATACCGTTTCCTATGAACAGGAGCCAGGAGTCCTTCAAGAGATGGTTGATCCCAGATCTGAGGAAGAATATATACAAAATGAGTGTTCCTGTGCTACCCAAGACTAATAATGGGGTCATGTTAAAAGGATACATGAAGCAACATAAAAACCCTCCAACTGGTGTAAAACAGAGCTGCCTAGGTATGCATCAAAAAGAAAAACAATGGCATTAATCAAACCTCAA